CTACAGCAGCAATTCTCAACCCACGACCCACAGGTTGAGAACCGCTAGCAGCGTCGCCTAAGATCATCAGAAAGCACAGATATTTACATTATGATTCATAACAGTAGCAAAATTAGAGTTAGGAAGTAGCAATGAAAATAATTTTAGGGTTGAGGGTTACCACAACATGAGGAACTGTGTTAAAGGGTCACGGCATTAGAAAGGTTGAGAACCACTGATCTAGAAGGTCAGTGGTTTGAGAAGATAGCCTCATTTTGCATTCATGAAGCCCCTTTCAAACTTAGCATGTAGTATGTTTGGATTTGGGGAGTAACTTCACCTTTTCACATCATGATTATTGTAGACCAACTGATCAAGTGGTCTGACAATAGTCATTGTCCTAATAAGGAAGGTTGGAGTTGATCAGCTCCACATTTGTGTAAAGTAGGCCAGGGCTTTGAGTTTCCTGTCTCCTCTTTAAGTTTCTCACATTGATATGGAAAATAGTTTTACTTCCTGTTGAATACCTAAGCCTTTCAGTAATACCTTTTGTTTATATAAAAATATAACAACTCCATTTTTAAAAAATGTTAATTAAATGTTTAAGGAAAAAATATTTTAAGTAATAATTATGTAGTAAACAAGGGAGAAACCATAAATGTTGAATGTAGAATAGTCTGGCAAAATTTGTTGGTAATTAAAAATGTAGGATAAATATTCTTTCAAAATAGATTTTAAAATGTTTGTTGTGTAAATATAGATTTTTGTTTTAAAAAATTAAGGTGATATATTGTAACATTAAGAATTGTGCTGATATTTACTTAGGGAGCTTTTAAAGCACAGATTATTGAGTCAATAGTCTAGAATGGCTCAAAGAAATGCTTCTTATTTCACAGATCACTGAGGCGGTAAACGGTAATAGCTCAGACACATCTACAGTGTGGGCCGGCCTGCAGGTGCCACTGCGCTTGACACTTAGTATTTCATATCCAAAAAGAAAGAAATAAGTAAACTTCAGAAGCAAGAAAAGGATATGTAGCATTACTTTAAAAAAAAAAAAAAGAGTACTTTTTATTTAAACTGCAAAATGGAAAAAAATCATTACTATAAGATTTAGTGTATGAGTTTCTATTGTTTGGCACTTGAAGTATAGAAGAAGGTCTGCAGATTATTTTGTTGTTTCTTAATATTCTACTAAAAATGGAAAATACAAGGCTGATTTGCTTCAAAGGTATTTGAAAGGAATGTGCTTTTTATTAGGAATTTTATTAAGGTCGTAATGTAGCCCTATGTCACTCTTGGAGTCACAGTTCAAATTACGCACAACAGGAGCCAATGGTCTGGCTGAGAATCGCTCACCTGCTAAAATATAGCAGCCTTAGCAACGGTGTTATTTTCCCCAGTCGTCTTTCATTATAAACTGTCCTTCTGTCTGTGTGCAGTCATCTTGTGTGAGTTAACGTGAGATTGGAGGCTTTTCTATTTTTCAAATTATATTGCATTTATAGGAAAAATATAAGACAAAGTAATATTTACCTTTCTACAAGAATTGCACTTGACTTTTTGACATTTGCATCTTATTATTTTGCTATTCTAAAATATTTCAATGTAACAAATAACTGTGAGTTTTAAGAGAATGGTAAAAGTATTTGATATTCACATGTTAATGTGTGTGATATTAATACCATATAATAGCAGCTAGTGGTATGTATACCTTTGTTCTAGATAGGAGTTTGGGGAAGTTTTTATCACATGAGACTTGGTTTTGGTTTGGTATGCATGCTGATTTTTTAGGGATTGGTAGCAGGACGAGGTTCAATGCCAAGATGGATTGGAATAGTGCTGTCATAGAGATAAGGTGGTTTCTCATTCGTCCACACGTGCATTAAAAAACTCGCTGATCTTTACTTGGTTAAGCAGGAGAATACCGTATTTACCCTTTATTGTTGGTATAAACCATTATTTTCCTGAGCACCATTAGCTGTTTAAAACTTGGTACATAAATTAAAGAGGAGCTAAGTGGATTTGTGATCGCTGCCATTAGCGGCATTTTAGATTATACAGGCAATTATTGTGTTCATTATCCTGAACAGCCCCTTCGCAGAACCATTGTGGTCTCTTAGACATTATGCACAAATTTTCCCTTAGAGATTAAAATTTCCAGTAGTGTATTTAATTTTGTTATCACAGTTGTTTCAAATAAAACAAATATTATGACAAGTAGAAGAAAATTTGCTTTACTAATATAGGAAGATACAATAAATATTGAAAATTACTTCCCAGTGTACTTACTTTACCTTTTCTTATACAGTCATAATTACTTCAAGAGATATTAATGTATTTCATGGGTGAAAAGTCTTTGCAGTCATAGCAAAAGGTATCTGGTGTGTTCCATGTCCCAGGAAATTTTTTACAGTCATATGAAAACCCACATCATCACCTTTTTTACAGAATCTATAACTTTATAAGTTAACTATTTTGAATAGTTTCTAAGAGTCCAGGTTGCATTTTATTTTGAATAGTTTTTAAGAGTCCAGGTTGCATTTTAGAGTTAAAGAAACTTTTAAAGGTGTTGAGAGGAGTATAAAAATTAACTATTAATTGAAAGTGGATTTTTAAAAAAATTAGTTGAAAGGTATCTTTTCTTCTCACCATTGTTAGAATTGGCAAGAAAATCCAAGCTCACGCAATATGCTATAGCTTGGTTGCAGTTATTTGCCAGGAAGAATCAACAGTTCAGAACAGCCTACCAGTGGGAAGCAGGGTTTTGCTCTGTGGAACTTACTGCTTCCCTTCAAGGTGGCTGGTGGAAGAGGACACACTGACTCCCCGTCAATGAGAAAGGTGCTCACGCTGGAGTTTCTGCATGTCGGCTTGCAGTGGCCTGCTTTCAGACTCTCATCTTGTGTGTGTGCTTTCAGAGGAAACTTTGGCCCATTCCTGACTGTTTTGTCCCTGCTTTTCCAGTCTTCTTGAAAGTGTGAGGTAGTGCGTATACATTTTGCAAGACAGAGATTCTTTATTTTATTACAAAAAGACCAACTCTAGAAGGCCAGATTAAATCATTCCTTTCACTTTTTAATGGGATTTGGATGAATAGAGTAAAATATGCACTTTGCATTCATTGATAGCATCTTTAGGTTGAGGTAATTGAGTCTTTTTTCCCTGACTGAATGAATAATGACTTCATCTGACCCTCAGCGAGCCTGAGACTTAGGCCGCCTTTGTCACAGCTAAAGGAGCTGGGCTTTGAAACATGCTCTACTTCCCTGGCTTAATTTTTCTTCATTTTAATCCAAAACCCTATTTTTCTCAATAATTCAAGCATAAACTATGTAGTAGTTGAAGCAACGGAAATTGCAAGATATTTGTCCTCGTTGTGCTGCTTTTTAAATGGAGCTGATAAATCAGGCAGGTCCTCAGCTGCCTAGTTCTCAAGGGAAGCACAGCCAGGGCAGCCCTGCAGGAAGCCCCAGCCCAGAGCCTGCAGGTCCCTCCAGACACTGGTCCCAGGGAGAAGGCAGGCCTGGTGGCTCTGTAGCTGCGCCTGGAGGTGCTGAACAGGTGACCCAAGGAGCAGTGTGCTTTTCTGCAGGACACTAGGCACTTGGAAACTGATGGGAGAATGGCCTCGTCTCCGTCACATGCAGCTGCATAGATACTGCATATAGAACTGGCAGCTAGGTTTTCTTCCGCCTCCTGAATTAGGAGTCTGTATATTAAGTGACCAGATGAGACCACATTTCACAGGCCTTGGGCTTTTTTCCTGCTTCTGAAGCGGGAGGGACCTGCAGCAGGATGGGGCCTTGCAGGGGCGGAGCTTGCATACTCCAAACCCACCTTGCAAAGGTTCCCTGCAGACCCTACAGTGGAAGTAGAACCTATCCTGTGGACAAATTTCATTCATATCCGGGTCCCTGTTGTCATTTTCATTGTTTCTACCCCTTTTTTAAAGGCCATGGAGTGCTAACCAACAGCAGTGCTGGCTGTGAGCTATAAGAAGTGAATCTATAAGCTTGGTTAGAGAAGAAAGCTTTCTATTTTGTATTTCTCTTTTATAGTATTTATTACAGGTGTTCGTCTTATTTTTCCTACTAGATTGGCTGTTTCTTGTGGGTAAAATCTTACAGTTTACCCATTTTTCATGACCTTAGAGTTTAGCAAAAAATATAGTAGGCAATTCCATTTATTTTTGTAATGAATTTTCTTCACAGCTACACTTAATGGATTTTCTGACAAAGTTTTGTGTTTTCTCTCTAACTACAGGTTTAATGTTCTCATGAGAGTTTGTGGCAAATATTAATTCAAAACAGATATAAACTAAATATATAAAATGAAGGAAAGGCTAGCTTTTTATTGGCCAAAGTTGTGGATTTCAAAAAGTGCTACAAAATAAAACGAGTTAACAATTAGCCCATTGAGAATTACAGTATTTAATTTTTAAATAAAAGTTTTGGCAATCATGTTTTCTTTTTTAATTCAAGAGAAACAGCCTGGTACGAATTCAGTTTCTGTCCAAGTCATACACAGTATGAGAGAGCACAGGGCCGGGCCAGAAGCACCATGCTGGGCTTCTCCAGGTAGTATATAGGTAGCACCAGTTTAGAGACAAGGAAAATGGGGCTTCAAAAATGTAAGCACATTTCCCAAGATCACACAATTAGTAAGCAGAGATTCAAATCCAAGTTTTTAATAATAATGACAATGAGAGTATAATAACATGTATGTAGGTTATCCTCTAACCAGGAGCTGTTCATGATCTCGTGTAAACCCAAGTCCTGATAGGAAGACACTGTGATAACCCCATTTTACAGCTTGCCCAAGGTTAGCCATTGGAATCAGCCTCCACTAGGCATCCTGAGGAATTTCTTCTCCCTCTGCCTGGTTCTCAAGCCTTTCTCAAATGCTAGAACTATAGGCCAATGCAAAAGAAAATTTATGGATATCAGAAGTGTCATGTATTAAGATGTGTAATGTTAGGGGCATTATGTTTATGTCTTAATTCCATGTTTTTCTTTCAGGTTGGTTTGTTGGACCTTGAGCTCAATCAGCTGACCAAAGCGCTGTTTTTGGCATTGGTTGCTCTCTCGGTTGTTATGGTAACCTTACAAGGCTTTGTAGGCCCATGGTACCGCAATCTTTTTCGGTTCCTCCTCCTCTTTTCCTACATCATTCCCATCAGGTAGGTTGAAGAATTAAGGTAAAACAAATGTCTAGTTTCATTGAATATGAGTTTATTAACATCTGTCTCTCATTATGAAAGAAATTGCTCACATGAAGCTTAGGAACTCTGGTGAATCCTGAAGAATTCTGTAGGAAGTCATATGGGGTGGGGGCAAAGTCATTTTGTTAGAATAGTCTAGAAATCTGATATTTTATCTTATATAAATGTATTGATAATATAATCTTCAACAACTGGGTAATATAAACATAAACCATAAATCTGAACCCAACAAAATAGTATTTGCTTATTGCTGGTAGACTTTTTATTTCCAGTGCTCTTCGGTCCAGGGCAATCATTGACATTTTAAAGTGATCTATATTTCAGAGACCATTTAATATACCTGTCAAGTTAGATAAAATACTGAGTAAGGCAGTCTTCTAATATGAACAATTTTTCAAGATGATAACCCATCTAACTCGAGATTGGGATATAAATAGTTAATATTAGATGTCTTTAATTTAAAGACTGATTTATAACAAATGTAGATAAGTCCATTTAAAAATATTTCCACAAAGAATATTTTTAATAGATATCCTAAATATATATGATTGAAAATTTCATATGAATGAGCAATTAAACCCTAATAAGTCATGCATAAAGTATGAGTCCAGAATAGCTGTCTTCTGTATCAAAGAGTGAATTAAAACATGTTCAGTATTAGGCTCAGTATACAAGGATTTGGAGAGAAAGGCACTGGTATCTCTAAAAGTTTATCTATAGAAATGTCTCTTTCATTGACTTATATCATAGCAGTGCAGCTGTAGTTTGTCCCTGGGGTTCTGTACACAGAGCTGTTACCCCACCCCCACCCCACCCCCACACATGCACTCACAGTCTCCTCCAACTGCCAGCATCTCCTGCACTCATCACTAGGTCATACTGATTTTCTTGGGAATTCCCAGGAGTTTTTTATTCTTTCATTAATCTTGTTTCTCTTCATTGCTGCTGCTTGTATCTGTTTTGCAATGTTATGTGATGTCTGTCACTTCTGCTGTCTGAAACCGAAGGCCCAGGGAGAACTCTGTCCTGCTCTTGTCTGGGCCTCTCCCTTCACTGGTAGAAGCCATTGGAAGAAATGTTTTATTTCTATGGTATATCTCCAATTTTTTTTCCTCAGTAAAATAATAAAGAGACTTGGCACTTTCTCCTTTATCAAATTAACAGGGGGAAAATGATTCGAGTTTTGAAAATACATAAGCATTTTAAAACTAAAACTAATTTTTATTGTTTTTTATATTTTAAGTATATATATTTATAGTAAAAAATTAGACAATACCTAATACTAGGAGAAGGAAATAAGTACTGTCTCACTAACTATTGATAAATTCTGTAAAGGCTTACAGATGCATATATAAACAGTCTTATAGTTATGAGGGTGCAGGTTACACACATATACGCACCAGCACTCACAGACACACCCTTCCTTTAGTCTCTGCATCCTCTTGGGAAGACTGCTTACAAAATGGGGACTGTATCGGGCTTCTGTAAGTCTGTCTTGTTCTAGTGTTTCAGTGCATAGTTTAATATTTAACATGTTTGAGCTTGGAGAGACTTAGTAGACACCTCCATCTGACTCCAAAACATCTTTCTGGTACTTTAACCTGAAACTTCTGTCCTTCCGTCTGAAGGCGCAGCTAGACAGACTCGGCAGAAGGGATTAAACCCGGGAAGTGTGGACAGTGTAGCACACTCCTTTAGGGAGTGAAGGTTTACATTTGATTCAACCAAGGTTATTTTCCTTTGCAAAATTTCCATAAACTATGACTGGTAATACCTTTTAGTGTTTGCTAAATATGCTTTCAGTTTAATAAAGGATCAATTTTTTAATTTTTTTGTTTGTTTGTTTCGCAAAGTGCACGGTTCCGGAACGTGGTTTTTGTTTTTGTTTTTGTTTTTGTTTTTCTCTATTACCTAACACTCCTAAAAGGTTTTTCCAATTTAAGAAGTGAGGCTGTTTTATAGACATTCTTATGTTTGAGTCACCTGATATAATTTACTTTGTCTTTCAGTAGAAACATTACAAGATTTGACTCTTACTTTCAGAATTAAAATGCATATACATTCCCTGGATTGTGTATCACTCACAAACAGCAGACTAGCCATCCCATTTCTTTACAGGACATGTAGTTCCATTGGGTCAGGAACATGCAGTTCCTCAGCTCGTTGATTACCACCCGTTTGCCTGCATGCGCTCGCATGCATTAACATCCTAGTTGAGAGCACTGTCTCATGGGGCAGAGCGCTTCCCTCTCACATGTGGCCACAGGGCAATGGGCGCAGTGAGGACTGTCCATGCGGCATCTCTGTCTGATGGTATCAGTGCCTCAGGAGGCAGGGTTCTCCTCCCTTTAACATAGACGGGTGTGCCAGCAAGATGGCCACATGCTCATTTTGCCAACCAGCCCGCTGCCTAAAGGACTACCTACCATGTGCTCTGCTCATCCACAATCTGACTGGATTATAAAAATGTCAGATGACACATGTACAAAACATGCTTCAGAATTTAACCTCACTCAAGTTTTTTGTTGTTTTCTGAACAGATTTTATTACACAGGCTGGGCTCAGTCCTTCTTGGCTTCTGCCTTCCTCCTGGCTGCAAGGACATTGCTCAGCTCCTCTCTCTTCCTCTTGGCACCAATGTGTATCCCCACCCTTTTCTTGATGAATTTCAGGGCCCTCTTGTCCTTAGAGGCCTTGAGCAGCTCTATGGCTCGCTGCTCATAGGGGCCAAAGCCACACACCTCTCAGGTCATGTCCCTCACGAACTTGGTGTGCTTGGTGAGGCTCTCGCGCGGTGGTTGTGCCTCGGCTTGCACACGTTCTTGGTCACCTTGTGGCCCTTGTTGAGGCCCATGGCCATGGGGTAGCGCAGAGCCATGGCTGTGCTCCTCAATGGCTGATCTCCCTGAAGTTTTATTGCACGAAAATTCTTAGGAGCTTATTATCAGCTTACAGTACATTGGCATTTTAAAATGTGTATTAACCTACTCGACATCTTTAGTTATCCTCATTTTCTAGGTTGAATGCTTGCAGAAAAGAGTGTTTTCAACCTTACATAGACCTAGGGATAATACTTAGGCATTGATGGTCTGGGAAATATGTGGCCTGTACAGATTGCTAAAGACACTGATATTAGAAGTTTCATTGTTTGAAAAGTGTGCCCAGGAGAGGAGGCTGAGGATGTGCTTGACAGCCTTTGCCGAAGAGATTAGGCATGTGACTCATCTCAGCAGAGGCCAAAACTGGATAGTATTATCCAGGAGAAACTTATAGAGGAGCCTCTCTTGTCTGACAGTTGGACCCTGGGCACACACAGGAGAATCAGAAAGGTTCTGAGATTGTCCTAAGGGCAGAAACACTGCCAATGTAGACTGAAAGGAACAGGGACAAGACAAGATGAGAAAAGCCTGTCGGATTCCCTAAATCTGCAGGCTCAACGTGAACTGCTAGAGCTACCTGGCTGCAAATGTGTGCTGACTGCAGGAAAAAGGAGGAGCAACTGAAGCCAGTGCCTCACGGGTCATGCACAGGGCTGTGGCACTATGTAGTTATTATATGCTCTGCATGTTTTCCTTCAGTTGTGTTTCTCTGATACTATTTCTTGATCGGTGACTTCAAGTTTTATTCTCCCAGTGGTGAAATTACAAAAAGAAGTAATCCACTTCACAGTCACATATATGAATGTTTCTGTGGGTAGTAGTCACTCTTTATTGTTTAAGGAATCCTCTAGTCCAGGTGTGAGCCTCCTCCTGCATTAACTCCTAAAAGATAATCGGTCTCGACTCTGATCCCAGCAAGGTGTTTTTTAATGGTGTGAAGTAGATTTTTCACATTATTTTTTCCATGCCAGTTGTCTTAGCACCTCTTACAGAAAAGACTTGTCCCCCTCTGTCATGTACCAGGTATTCATTTATGCACAGGTCTTTGTGGGTCCCTACCCTCTTCCTTTGGCCTGCTTGTAGATTCCTAATCAGATAACTGACCGCCTTATTTACACACTGTGATAGTAAGTTACTAATTGATGGGACAGCCCTTCCTCCTTGTGTTCTTTAAGATTTTCTTTGCTCTCCCTGGTCATTTGCATTAATATTAAATCTGCCAAATCATGAATTGGCATATTAATATAAAAAGTTTTGTTAAAACTATTCTTAGGTATTTGACATTTTTAAAATGCTTTTATAAATACTTGTTTTAAACTATTTTGTATGTATTGGTTGCTGGTGATAGACGAATAAAATTGATTTTTATAAAATGATTAAATCCATCAATTTTTGTAAACTATCGATTAATTATTAATCTGAGTCTATTGGGTTTTCTGTATAGATAATCATGTCATCAGTAAATAATGACAGCTTTGTTTCTTTTGATTCCTTGCACCATTTATTTCTTTTCCTTGTCACTATATTAGAGATTTCCAGTATAACATTAAGTAGAAATAATTATAATGGAAATTCTTCCTTTGTTTCCAACGAGAAAGGCAGAACTTTTTACATTTTATCATTAAACATGCTATACGTTTTCATAGAAACCCTTTCATATATTAAGGAAGTATTTTCTTATTTTGCTTAAATTTGTTTTAAATCATGAGTATAATTTTAAGACTATTTTCATCTTTAAATTTTTATTTTTTATTAATATGATAGGCTTATTGACTTTCTAATGACATACCTACTTATATTTGGGGGAAGACAATGCAACTTGATCATGATACAATACTCTGTCTTGTATTATTAGATTCTGTCTATTTATGTTTTTTGTGAAATTCTTGCATTGTTTGCATGAGTGAGGTTGACTGATAACTTTCCTTCTCATGACATTCCTTTATGTTTAGTGTCAAGATTTTGCCAGTCTTATAAAATACACTGATGAGTCTTCTCTTACTTTCTCTTCTCTAACATATTTTATTTAAAATTATAAATATTTTATTGTTTGCACATTTACACATTGGGAGGTCATGTGAGCCTGAGCTTTTTGATGTGGAAAAATAATGTAAATATATTTTTTAAATAGTAGACTTTAAAGAGTTATAAAACTTGATTTCAAGTTTTTTATTTCTTTTCGAGTCAGTTTTACTAAATGATGGCTTTCAAGAAACATGTCAACTGTACCTAAGTATTTTAATCTATTCACAAAAGCTCAGAGAAAGGATATTTTTCTTTCCTGATACTTAGTTATCTTTCCTTTTTTCTTTCAGTCTTCCAATAGGTTTGTCAGCTTTAATAGTTTTAGAAAAACCTCTATGCTGATTTTTATTTTATTAGTATTACCATACTTTACTTCTTTCCTCCTACCTTCTTTGGTTTTTATTATCCTTACCTCTTATGATAGATGCTTAATTCATTAGTTTTCAGCACTTTTTCTTTTTTGAATATGTGCAGTAGAAACTATGAATTTCTTTCTATAGGAGTACTGCTTTGGCTGCATCCCACAAGTTTTCATATTTTGACAGAATGTTTTTTAAATTTCATGGTGATTTCTTCATTTACTAGGTGTACCAGTAAATAATGCAGATTTTTTTTTCAATAGATGGAGTTACACATGTGTTGATACATACGCGATTTGATATGTATGCCATTTTGTTGTATTGACAGCAAGCTTCAAAACTTCATGTCAAATTTGCTGACGGTGTTAACATCATAGATATTTTTACGCTCAAAAATGTCAAATTTCGTGCCAAAAAAGGAGCATTTGTGGGAAATTTTAATTTATTTATTTTGAGGAAAAAGTTATCATATACTTCAGAAAGCTTATTGTGAACATGCTCTATCTCAAGATACTTGTGAATGCTGGTTTAAATGCTTTAAAAGTGATGATGTCAGTGTGAAAGACCAAGAATGTCCAGGTCAACCTAAAAAAGTTTGAAGACCAACAATTACAAGCATTATTGGATGAAGATGTGTGTCAAACTAAAAAACAACTTGCAGAAAGATTACACATTGCTCAGCAAACAATTTCCGATCATTTACAAAAGGAAAGATTTTAAAGGAAGGTAAGTGGGTGCCACATCAACTGAATGAAAGACAAATGGAAAACTGAAAAGTCATCAGTAAAATGTTGCTTCAACGGCACGAAAGAAAGTCTTTTTTTGCATCAAATTGTGACTGGCGATGAAAAGTGGATGTGTTTTGAGAATCCCAAAATCATGGGTTGATCCAGGTCAACCATTAACATCAACTGCAAGGCCATATCACTTGGGAAAGAAGACAATGCACTACGTTTGGTGGGATGAGGAAGGTGTGGTGTATTAAGAGCTGTTAAGATCAGGTGAAACCATCAATACTGATCAATACTGACAACAAATAATCAATTTGAACCATGCTTTGATCGTGAAACAACCAGAATGTTCCAGAAGACATGACAAAGTAATTTTGCTTCATGATGACCTACCATCAGATACTTCAAAACCAGTTAAAGATAAAATACTTGCCTGGGAAGTATTAACCCACCCGCTGTATTCACCAGACCTTGCTCTTTCAGATTACTACTTGTTCCAATCGATGGCACATGCATTTTTTGAGCAGCATTCAAAACATACAAAGTGAAAAATTAAGTCTCTATGTGGTTTGCCTCAAAACAAGAAAATTTCTATTGGAAGGGTGTCCACAAATTACCTGAAAGATGGGGAAAATGTATAGCTAGCAACAGACATTACTTTGAAGAAAGCACTTTTGATGTTTCTCTTTAAATTATCATGTTTTCTAGTACAAGTGTATTTGAATTTTCTGTTTTTATTTTAGCTTAATTGGTTGTTGTCACAGAACATACCTTCACTGTAAGGCTAAAGACTGGTTCATTTCCCTATCAGGGCACATGCCTGGATTGTGGGTTCAATCTCTACAAGGGGCATGCAGGAGGCAGCCAATCAATGTTTATCTCTCATTGATGTTTCTCCTCTCCTTCTAAAACAAAAAGTTCATAAAGGGCCTCCATCAGACATGGAGAAACTTCTGATACCTGTTTTGCTTTTTGCTTTTTTTTTCTCACCCAAATATATTTTTTCCATTGATTTTTTAGAGAGAGTGGAAGGGAGAGGGAGAGACAGAGAGTAACACCAATGTGAAAGAAACACAACAATTGGTTGCCAGGGCCGGGAGCCTGCAACCAAGGTATGTGCATTTGACCAGAAATGACAATCCACAGTCTAATACTTTGTCCACTGAACTAAACTGGCTAGGGCCTGATGACCTGTATTGAAGACAAAACACAAGCACATATCCCACTCAGCATTATGATGACCAAGGCCAAAGCAAAAATGATATTGAAAAAAAAGGCTGGATCTGACTACTGTGTTGAATTTACTGCTAGTTGTGAGTGATTTTAACTATTTAAGAATTGTTATTTATTCTGTAATATGAAAATGAGTTGTGAGCCTGTAAATGCTCATGTGAAGTCAGCTGAAGAATTTTTAGAAACTCTAGTTAAGGTGACTGTGGAGGAAAATTACTTGCCAGAGAAAATATTCACTATGGCTGAAACTTCACTACTCTGGAAATAAATCCTGAAAGGACTTTCATCCCTAAAGAGACCAAGTCAATGCTGGTTTCAAGGCTTTTAAGGATGAGATAGCCATCTTGCTTGGTGGCAGTGTTGCAGGTTACAACTATGATGGAGAATAGTGAGAACCACAGGGCCTCAAAGCACATCAATAAGCACACAGTGTCTGCAGGAGCAATGAGAAGTCATGGGAGATCCAGCTCCTCCTCTATTATGCTTTTCTGAGTTGCTGTGCCAGTGAAACAGAAGTACTGTTTGAAAAAGAACATAGCTTTCAAGATTTTGTTTATCCTATATAATAAAAGGCTACTATGCAAATAGACCGAACGGAGGAACAACCGAACAACCAGTTGCTATGACGTGCGCTGACCACCAGGGGGTATGAATGAAACATGGTGGGCTTTGGCTACTGCAGAATGGTAGAGCAGGTGAGCAAAGCCGCAGATCAAGGAGGGATGCCGGTCACTGTCATTGGGGCGAGCCTCTGCTGTTACTGAAAATTCTTTGCTCCTACATGCCATGGTCCTGCCCAGTGCTCACAGTTGCTGCTGGCGCTGGCCCTGCTCACACCCACTGCCAGTGCTGGAGCTGTTGCTCACACCTGCTGCCTGCACTGGTCCCAATTGCTCTGCACTATCAGCAGATGCGAGTGGAGCCAGCACCATCAGTGCGTAGGAGCGGCAGTGGCAGTGGCAGGAGGGGCCAGGCGTGGCACAGAGGATGGGCTGAGACCTGCCCCTGTGCCCACCACAGCCTCATGGCCCATAGTTCCTTCAAACAAGGTGCACAAGTTCATGCATTGGGCCCCTAGTTGTTAATAATGCTCATGGCATCCTCTTTTTATTGGTGATGTTCTTCCCAATATCAGAGTGCTATTTCTCCAAACACTACCACTTTGATCAAATGGATCAGGTGGTTGTAACAGCTTTTAAGGCCTACTCCCTGAAGATGACTTTGCCCAGGTTTTTGCTGCAACTGAGGAAGACACTGAGAAGTCATTGATGCAATTCTAGAAGGACCTCAACATTTGTGACTCCCATCAGAAACCTTGCTTAGGATTGGGATAGTGTAAGTTCTTATAATAAAACAAGACCCATTTCAAATATTCCCAGAGGGACACCCCCTGGCACCCTGCCTGCCCAAGGCACTTAAAACAGCCCATTTTTTTTCTTTCCCATCTGATGTCACAGACCATGCTAGAGGACAGCATGAGTAACTACTTCACTGTCACCTGTCACATGTCCTGGGGTGTAGAAAGGTTTGCTGACTTAAAAAGACAGTAAATTCACCTATTGCAAAGTCTAAAATTCAATGTTACTTATTTCATGTAAAGTTAAAATAATGTGTATAAATAAATTTATATGAAAATCATGAGCATGTTAGTATTCACAGGTCTGGGTCACACTAACTATGTGATGTTTTTATTTGGCAGTTTGCGTGTGAACTTGGACATGGGCAAAGCAGCATATGGGTGGATGATGATGAGGGATGAGAACATTCCTGGCACAGTTGTCCGGACCAGCACCATCCCAGAGGAGCTGGGCCGCCTTGTGTATCTGCTGACGGATAAGACAGGTACCACTTTGTGTGTATGTGTGTGTGTGTGTGCACGCGCGCACACCTCAGGTTGACCTGGTGTGTATATGTCGACATGGGTTTATGGTGTCTGTATATATTGAGTCATATTTAGAGTTTCTCAGACTCTGCTCTTGAAACTGACACACAACTAATATTCATCTTCTTATATACACAGTATCATCGGAATTAGCAAAATATTAAATTCTCAGAGATTGAAATGCCATTTCTATATTTTTAATTTTTTACAACCTTACAGATTTTTTTTGGTCTTATTTTTAACTGCTTTTATTATACCTCTCTAGTGACTTTGTAAGAGCAAAAATTGCTTGTTTATTATAGAATGACATATAAGCTAGTATTGGGTCGGCAACTAAGTACTTGCGGATTTTTTAAAGAAAATCAAAGACAATTTTTTCATGGAACTAAATAACTTTATTTTGTAATGTATTGCCCATTTTGATCAATAACCTTTTACCATCTTTCAGGCAGCATCATAATCCCACGTTCAAAAAACTTCTGATTTTTATTAGCAAAAAACTGAATCAGGTACGATTTGACATCATCATCATTATTGAAATTTTTACCATTCAAGGAGTTTTGTAAAGATCGAAACAAAAAGTAATCAGATGGTGCAAGGTCAGGACTATATGGTGGATGTGGCAAAACATCCCAACCAAGCTCCATTAATTTTTGCCGAGTGACCAAAGATGTGTGTGGCCTTGCATTGTCATGATGGAATACAACACCTTTTCGATTTGTCAATTCGGGCCGCTTTTCTTCAACTGCATTGTTTAATTTCGTTAGTTGTTCAATGTAGACATCAGAATTGATCGTTCGGTTGGGTGGTAAGAGTTCAAAGTAGACAATTCCTTTGTAATCCCACCAAACTGATAACAAAACCTTCTTTTGATGAATATCAGCTTTTGATGTTGTTTGAGTTGGTTCACCTGGCCTGCTCCACGATCTTTTCCGCTTGATATTGTTGTAAACAACCCATTTTTCATCGCCAGTTATCAGTCGTTTTAAAAATGGATCATTTTCATTACGTTTCTTTAGCAAATCGCAGCTGCTAATGCGTTGCGTTAACTGTGATTCTTTCAGTTCGTGAGGAACCCATGTATCGAGTTTTTGAACATAGCCAAGTTGTTTTAAGTGATTTTCAATGCATGTATGTGATACATGAAGCTTCTCTGCAATCTCACGTGTTGTACTGTGACAGTCCGAATTGATTATTGCTTTGATTAGGGCGTCATCAACTTCAACTGGACGACCAGAGCGTTTTTCATCTTTGAGTGAAAAATCACCAGAACGAAATTTGGCAAACCAATTTTGACACTGCCGTTCTTTTAAGGCTTCGTCACCATAAACAGCACATAACTTTTTATGAGCTTGCAATGCGTTTTTCCCTTGTGGAAATAAAAAAGCAAAATATGATGAAAATGTTCCTTTTGATTTTCCATTTTTCAACGAACGCCAAACGAAAACTACAAAACAGATCAAAAAACTTTTTTCACTGATTAACAGCTGAATAGCCAACTACCAAATAACAAAATGTGTTTTACATTTGTACTACATCTGCAAGCCTAAAAATTCAACTGAAGCCATATGTGTGTGAAACCCGCAATTACTTAGCTGCCGACCCAATAGAAGAAAATAACAGTAAGATGGGTAAATTTGGTGTTTTAACAATTACCTTCTCCTAAAGAGTCTTACCACAAACAATTTATCTCAACTTGAGGTTTCATGCCCAAAATTCTATTTGTCTTTATTTTGTTTTGTTTCTTTTATTCATCAAAGAATTTGTCAATCCATAACATACTAGAGACAACACAAATTGAATGCAGCAGTATAATAAAAACCAGATCAAAGATTCAGTCCCTCCTTGATTTATTGGTTTATGATTTCCAAATAATTATTAGTGAAATAGAAATAAAATAATATTTGTATAAATGGTAAAGAAAATATGTCTCAAATAAAATTCAGCATTTTAAATAAAATATTAGAAAAGTTCTCACTATAATCAGGAAGAAGAAAGAGAAATCTGCTAACAACACTGCTGTTTAATAATTATTATTCTAGCCATTGCAACAAGATAAGAAGTAGAAATAAAGTAAACAACAAAAAGAAAAAAACAAATGTCTGCAGATGTAACAATCAACCAAGCAAATCACTTGGTGGAAACAAGCGATCATTAGAGTGAGTGGCGGGTTCCAGATAAAAGCAGCACAGTAGCCCTTTACGGGTAGAATAGACTGGAGAATAGCACCCTTCCTGCTAGTCAAAGTCCATGCAGAGCATGCACATAGGGACCCGATAGCCTAAGTCCTCATCGAACACACATGCTGGGATGTGAGGGTGGCAGAGGGCACATGTGTAGAATGTCCAGCCATCACAGAGAAATGGAAAAGAAGACAAACACATCCCAAATGTGAAATCCTCATTGCAGAGATGGAAGCCTCACAACCAAGTCATACATTTGATCACTGCAGGGCGTCAGATCCTGTGTTGGATTGTTTGGGTTTCCTTTGGCCTGTCTTTGATGGATGTTGAGTACTGGCCATGCAGGCGATGCTCAGGAAACAAGAGTAACTCAGAAATAACAGCATGAAGGGCTCGGGTTCAAGCGGATCGGTGGAGGAAGAACCTTCAGAGTTTCCCTTACTAGCTGTGTTGAGCTGATGGGAAGAAGTTTAAAGAACGAGCCTATAACAACATAGAAAGCAGGCAAAATGGCATCAGAGGATCCAGAAATGAAGTTGTTGCTGGAAATTGAGAGAGTAGCCAGAGAAAAGCACATCTGAATTTGGAATTACTCTGACGCATAAGAAGGGGAATACTGAATGTAAAGCCAACAGGTGCACAGGTCAAGGCATTTACAGAAGAAAACTACCCTGCTTACCAACCAATCAGCCTGGACTTCATTGACAAATATAACCGGAAACCAAGAATCACCTACAGAAATCAAAGTGCCAACATGAACAAGTGAGCTGTTCCCAAAGAAAAATTCAGTGGCTTTTACAAAGAAATCTAAAAGAACCATCAGTGAAATGTTTAGAATTATAAGAAAGCTTAGTTACACATATAAACCCAGTGCCAAAGTTAAACTACATCATTTCTGTGTATCCACAACAATTGGGACACTTACTGTAAACATGCCGATTAGAATGGCAAGTAAACATATAAAGCAGTGTGCGTGTGTGTGTATGTGTGTGTGTGTATATGTATGTGTGTGTATATATATATACATATATATATAGAGAGAGAGAGGGGGGGGGGGGCGGGGGAGAGCGCGCACACCAGGTTCTTAACATCCAGAACAACTGAAGGCTCGGCTGAACACCAGTTTGCATGCACAGCAAGTGAGGGGGCTGAACTGTTGACCTGTTGGATAGAGAGAGGGGCAGGGCTGATCAGCAGCAACTGCTGGCGAGGTGCACGCTCTCTCTCTTTCTCTCTCTCCAAGAGGTCAGCAGTTCAGCCCACTCACCAGCAGCCTGGGGTGGCTGCTAATCAGCCCTGCCTCTGATCAGGCCCAGAAATGCTAACTGGCATAGAAACTAATCAGTCATCACCAAATCTGGGTGAATTGTGAGGAGACAGTGGCTGCCTAAGAGGCAGAGCTTTTGATGCTGACTGGCATAGAAATCGACCAATCAGAACCTACTCTGGGTGAACTGCAAAGGCCAAACCTAAAGTGGGGGCTGGGAGGGGTTTTAAGGGCAACAGCTATTTGGTGTAAGAAGTTGATTCAGTTTTTTAATGACCGGTTTGGCAGTATAGTGCATATGACTAACTATCAGTCCAGATATAAAGATTATGTGTTTGGTCTGCCAAGATCATCTTCTCCTGCTGAAAAAGGCTCCCCCTTCCCCATTTAAGCAATCCTATCCTATATTATCTATACTAATAAGAGGGTAATATGCTAATTAGACTGGGTGGACTGGCCATCTTCCAGACATCCGACTTCCTTCTGGACAAAGCTAAGGTGGTGGGGACCAAGGCAGAGGCAGTTAGGGGTAATTAGGCTGGAAGGGGAGGGCAGTTAGGGGCAATCAGGCAGGCAGAGGCAGTTAGGGATGAACAGGCAGGCAGGCAAAGAAGTTAGGAGCGATCAGACCAGCAGGGGGGCAAGGTAGGGGCCATCAGGCTGGCAGGGGGGCAAAGTAGGGGTGATCAGTCAGGCATGCAGAGGGGTTAGGGGCCATCATGCAGGCAGGCAGGTGAGTGATTAGGAGCCAGTCCCAATTTGTAAGATGGATGTCTGACTGCCTGTTTAGGCCCAGTCCCTGTGGGCCTAAACTAGCAGTCAGACATCCTCCAAGGGGTCCCAGATTGAAGAGGCCTCTAGTCCTCTAAAATAAAAGCCTAATATACAAATCAACTGAAGGCCAAATGACTTGTGGAATGACCAGTCGTTATGACATGTACTGATCACCAGGGGGCAGACATTTGATGCAGGAAATGCCCATAGCCCACAGGCCCCAGGCCAGCTAAGACAGATGCCAGCTGGGGCTCCTTGATCATCCCGCCAGTCTCCCCGCAGAGGGAGGTGACCAGTGGGGGGCAGAGCTGCTGAGTGGGCGGCACCAAGCCGGCCAAGGTATTTGCCGGCAGGGAACTCCCCCCCTTCCCCCCAATCACCTTGCCAGTCACCCAACGGATCAGCTCTGATTGCTGGCCAGGCCCAGGGACCCTACCTGTGAACAAATTTCGTGCACTGGACCTCTAGTTAAAAATAAATGGAAATTAAAACATGTAGGACTGGGTCTCCTCCTTCCTGAGGGTATGTGGGAGAGGGAGTGTTGGCTGTGGCCATTCATCAGGGCCACACTGTCCAAATCATAAGTGTGCAAATAGAGCACTAATTTTCTAATTATTCTGCCACTGCAAGTAGGTGAATAGGATTCAGCTCCATCTGCACTTGGACACTGTAAAAACATGGTGTCCACACAGGGGATGGGGGCCATGGACAGACCTGATCCGTTAATTACATGTGTGCTAGGACAGATCCCCTAACCCTCAGAAGAAGCCTTTATTGTGGCCAAGGCTCTGTGATGGGACTGGCACAGCAGGAGGGCACTGGCACACATAGATTTCTGTGCATTGGCAAGTCACAGCCAGATCCCAGAAAGTGTTCTGTGCCCCTGAAACAGGCGCATTTCTCATGTTTACTCATATGCATGTGCTTTCCAGGAACTTAATAGGCTCTATTTCTATTCCTCACTTTGATTATGTAAAATATACAGGTCTTAGGGTCACTGTAATGGCCTCCATCACCCTGCAGCAGCAGGCCTGACAGGGTAGTTGTCAGGTGGAACTCTTGTTGTCAGGGAGAGTGGGAAGCAGTTTGCAGACATCTTCCAAGGAGCCTGAGCTTTGGCTGGAATGAAGAGCCTCTGAGGAGTCCCACGTTGCTACATAACTATGATGTGGGGCTTCCCAGGAATGCAAATTGGGTTTATGCTTCATCAAGAAGCTTTTTGACAAGAGATCTCCCTAAGTGCCACTGTCCTTGGCCGGAGCAGAGTGAAAGAGGCAGGGAGATGCAGCACCCCAATAATCGAATTACAGTTTCCTTTTAGACAAGAAAGCAGAGTGGTATAATTAGGTTTGATTGGAATGCACGTTTCCGGTAAGATCTGAAATTAATGATGTTGCTATAGTGACACATCTGTGGCCACCAGTGCGTGAGACATAAAGTAATTCATTCGGCAGGAGCTGGCATCTGTGAGCTGCCAGGATGTGGAACATATTGACACTGACCAGAGATACAGGCGCTACGCGATGAACAGTGCTACAGCTGGAGCTGCACCTTGTCAATCTGCTGGACCTTCCTCTCTGGTGCCTTTGGTGGTGCCACTGGTTTAGAACAAAGCTGCAGAGGACTCATAGGTTTTAAAACATAGTGTGGAGTCAGCCTGTTAAAGCCACACACTAATTGTTTGTTAGGCTGTTTTTATCTTCCTGTAGAACAAAGTCATTCCTGAAAACATTCACTAAAACAACAGGTTTCTTAGGACTCACAAATTAACTTAAATCCATTACCCAAAATGCCATGTTGCTTGGATTTGAATGACACACACGTTTCCCAGTACAGAGTCATCTGTGCTGAGCCATGCTGCTTTCACAGTGTGCAGAGTGCCTGCGAGCCACACTCTCATGAGGGGTGAGCAGTGTTCTGTCTGGAGATGGTGACGGGGTTTTCAATTGGGGCATTTGTAAGCAGTCCTGCTGACACAGTCACTACAGTGTGGGTTTGGGTGTGAGTTCATATGTTGGGGTGTTTGGACACTCCAAAGATGAACAAATCCTACAGTGCTGGGAACGTCATCTTGGACAGCAAGCACTGTAGGTGACTCCACATTAAATGGAGTCCGATAGTTTTAAAGAATTAATGCATACTCTTCAGTTTGATGAGTTAGAAGTTTTGTTTATCCTTTCCTTGTAAGGTCTAAGCTTTGTGTTTTAGTATAGTCATCAACCCCATTGCAGAACTAGAACCTTCACAGGAAGTGATGTGCAGGCTGGAAGCTGCCAGTCCTATGAGCTATGGGCGGGTTGTCTCTTGTTTCCTATAGTAACCACCTCTCCCTCCTCTGCTGCAGTGGGTTCTAGTTTTAGTCTGAGGCCAAATCACCACCAGGGAATATTTGCTCAGAAAGCTCTGCATCTGCTTCTCTGACACTGTTCCTCTGCTAGTTGTGTCACATCTGTCACCACCCTGAGAATGACGCCTGCAGGACTTATTCCTTAGAAGTTAATTTCCTCTTTGCCTGTTTTGCTCATTGTAGTCCAAAAGAACTGCTTTTATTAAAGAGCTACAGCCTTTTTTTTACAGGAATCACAAACAAACCTTTTGTTAAAAGACAATTCCTGTCCATGGAGCCAGTATCCTGACCAGAGGTCACTGGATGCTCTGACCTGGGGTCTCTCAGCCTGTACCTGGCTGAACTAGTTCCACCCCTTTGCCAAGTTTCAGATTCGGGACATACTAACTTCTGCTATATTAAGACAATAAAAATTGTAGGAACTGACAGGAAGATAAGATCTGCAAAATAAGTTTCATACTGATTTTTTTAGTAACTGATTTTGTCTCCTCACACTGACTGCTATACCTGAAGGCACAGAAGTACAACCCAGCACGGACCATACTGCTCAGAGTCCTGCAGTCAGCTATGGAAGCAAAACTTCCTTGAAATTTTAAAAAGCATTTTCAGGATTCACCTTAAAATGTGAGAAATCATATATGCTACTCATTTAAGGCATGTCTGCATAAATATTTCAGTATCTTTAACCCAACAAGATGTGAACTTATTCAAATGCCAAAATAATAGACACAAATTTTTCGTTGTTCATTTGATGAGAAATGCTGATTATATCAGTTTTAAATGGCTTAAAACATAACTTAGTAGCAAGTTAGAATTTTAGAAAGTGCAGCAGTTGTTGCACAATGTTTGAATCAAATGACAGATCTTCAGGATGTATCTATAGCTCTCTCGGTATTTGGCATAACCACTGGACAACCCTTACCACAATCTAAGTTTAGAATGTTTTCATCACTCTTCAAAGCCTCCTGTATACACCAGCCTCCATCCATTCTTCCCCATCCCCACCCTGCCCTAGGCAACTCCTAATCTTACTGCCTCAATAAATTTGCTAATTGGATTTTTCAAATGCCTGGCTTCTTTCACTCAGCATAACTGACACACTGTAGCATGTGTCAGTGCTTCATTCCTTTTTATTGCTGAGTACTATTCCATTGCATGGACATGCCACATTTTATTTGCCATTTATTAGTTGATAGACATTAGCATTGTTCTGGTTTTTGCCTATTGAATAATGCTGCTATGAATATTTAAGGTTCTCACTATGGCAGTCAGGCAAGACCATGTGTGACATTACCTTTATATAGAAAATCCTAATCATCTAAAAATTGTATTAGAACCAATAAATAAGGTTCCAAGATTTGAGATCAAATACAAAAATGAAATGTATTTCTATACACTAGCAATAAACTGTCCAAAAATGGAATTGAATAAACAATTCCATTTACAATAGCTTCAAAAATAAAGTCAATGTACCAATGCATAGGATCTCAAAGTATTAAGATGCAACAGTATTCCCCAAATTGATCTACAGCTTTGAAAAGAGCGCAGAGAAGCCCAGGGAAGACAGCACCAGAGCCATCCAAGCAGGACTGATGTGTACCTCACAGGGGGGTCAGAACTCCAAAACCAGATGGGCCCAAATTACGTGCATATATTAGTGTGTTTTTATATTAACTGATTCGTAAAAAGTGTTGAGGGTCTCCTTCCAGAGCCCTAAGATATATAGCACTGTGAATTTATTGCCACTTAATAAAAACTCACCAGCTGCCTGAAGTGTGGTGGTATCTCTGCCCACCTCTCTCATGACATTGCTTCACTGCATCTGCTTGTGTATCTTTTTGGTAGGAAGCCGAAATCACAAGCTCTCAGAAAGTTGGCCAGCTTGTGCACCCCTTAGCTTGCCTTCCTCACTGCCTCACGCCACATTAGTGCCTGGCCTAAACGACTGGCAGTCCCAAGAAGTGACCACTGACTGCATGAACACTGTCCTCACCTGCCAAGGAACCAGTGAGCACACCAGCAGCTCACAGCTACAGAATAAATGCCTGCCTTCCCGCTCCTTTCCTTTCTCTTCCTTCAGGGCTTAGATGCCCCTGCTTCTGTTCAATTAAAAATATTTAATTTTTCAAAATAGGGTTGTTGTTTTTAACTGATATACACATTAATTTGGGGCTAGTTGTCTTGCTCGGATAGGGCTCTGTCATGTGATTACATAGCTGTGACTCCAATGTTGCAGTTTTGTGCTTGTCATTTTCAGAACAGGCATAAATGGCGTTTGTGTCAAGTAACGGGCAGAGGGGAGATTTTCTTCGCAGAACTAGGCCCCTTCACATCATTTAAGTTACTAAAAGTTATTCTTGACGTGCTGGGAAGAACACTTCTTGTCCTCACTAGTAAGATGAAAAGAGTGGCAAAAGACATTTCAGGAGACTGTCGAGGAACAGAGATTGTGGCAGCAGAGGTGTGGCAGAGGGAGGGAACACCACGATCTCGATGAACCACCTGTATGCTCTCATTTTTTGTTGCTCCTTGTATCATAGGAACCCTCACTCAGAATGAAATGGTATTTAAGCGGCTGCATCTGGGCACTGTGTCCTACGGGACAGACACGATGGATGAGATCCAGAGCCATGTCAGGAGCTCCTACACACAGGTACGACTTCCGGTGAGCCGTCAGTTGCTGGTCTGCACACTAGTGAAGTCCTTTCGTTAATCTTAAAGCATTGCATTAGTTCCATCATCATTTCTAACGTATAAATCAAGCAAAAGATTTAGACTAATTTGAAATAGGCATTTCTATACTGTAGAAACAAGGCATAGTAGCCTTAAATCACTTTTTCTTGTTAAATTTTCTTAGTGAACTATTTATGAAATTATTCTGTAAAGATGGTATTTCAAAAATACTAAATAGAATGCTTTATCAGATGTTTCATAACAATTCCTCTGGTTTTCTTTATAATTAATAAGACTTTTCATATATTTTGTTTTTTCACCTTTTCAGTAAACAGAAGTAGAAAGTACAGTGTTAGAAGCCTGGGTACCTGTTATTCGTGTCAGCAGGTGCAACAAACTACAGGCCTGTTCAGTCTGCTTCACCCAATGCTTTTCAAGTGAAACTCACATATCTCATGATTTCACCTATAATAGTTAGTCTGTCTCTAATAGATAAGGGCTCTTTTTTTTATGACATACCTTAAATCTCGATTTTTCACTGGGCCCCAGAGGAGTTGTGTAAGGTGGCAAGCACAGGGACTGTTTGCTTTCACTGGCGGTTAGGGTGTTTGCCTGTCCCATAGGCAGTGGACTACCTCCAGTGAGTATGGCCTGGAGTCCTGACATTCGAGGCTTTTGACGTTGGACACGGTCGGGCTAGTGTGTGAGTGCATGTTGAGATCTGAGAAGGGGTTGGAGACAGACCATTTCCCAGTGTTCGTTTTTTAGGCTCTGAGGTCTCCATACCTCTGTTCCCAAGTTGTGTATTTCCTTCCTTTGGTTTTTCTTCTACCTGTCCTATAACCTGAAATCACTGATTCAGAGCGCTCAAACCTAGCAGCCAAGGGAATCGAAGATTCTCCCATGCGAGGCTGCTGTCTGTGTCACCAGTCATCACTTCCTTGGGCTTTTCCTCTGCCTCTTGGTAGATTTGTTGTGGAATCTAGTTACCCACATAACAGTGAGCCAAGGCTTGTCAGGGTCACCAGGGCAGCCAAGACTCAGTGCACCAAGGCCCTGCCCCTCGTAGACTGGACCGAATGTACTTGCACCTTTCCCACTCAGACAAAGCTCAGGTGTGGTTGGCACTGTTGTCAGATCCATAAAAACTTCTCTGTCTTCTGCAGTATTCTCCAGTCAGCATATACTTTACTTTTGAGATGCTGTCAAATGAAAACAATTTTATATGTGTACACATTAGCATGTATATATACTTTATCATGTGCACACATGTTTGTCATATGTGTGTATATCATGCATGCATATTTATCGTGTGTACATATTTATTGTGTGATGTGTACATATCACGTGTGTACATATTTGTTATATGTAATGTTTATACACTCATACAAGCACACACACATGCACAGATACTCAAAGCCAAGCACTTTATTAATTCAGCTATCACTCATTTCAGTCGGCATACTTTGTAATCCAGAATATAGGTGACCCCAAAAAATGATACTTTGAATGATTATAAAGTCAGTTTTTATTAACATATGGTTCATTTTCAAAATTTAAAATAATCAACAGAAATGAATAATTTTTTTTGTCAATGCCTGTTTTTAAACTGATGACCATTCTGGTCCAAACACTGCTGGTAACACAAAGCAGTGGAATCACAAACATCAAGAATAATTTTGTTCGGTATTTGTATATCCTCAACTCATCACTGTTGCCAGTTTTGAACTGTAACCCCATTATAAAGTCTAGTGAGATAAATTTTCTTTGTTCAAAGCTTAGTCTGGCTTCACCCATTATTTCAAATTAGTTAAGCCTAAAAGGAGTGAACATTGAATTATATTAGCTGTTAAAGTGTATAAAAAATGTATATACACTTTGAATAATTATAAAGGCAATGTTTATATTTCAACTGTGTTTCAAACTTCCAATAGCATTTTAGAATTAATTGCCTTTGTTCAAAACTTAGTCTGGCTGAAGAGAAAAACATCAGTTGAAGTATCAGCTGTTAAAGTGTGTATACGTGTTTTGAGGACACCCTGTATTTATTAGTAGAAGAAAAATCTAAAAAGTCTTTTTCGCTCTCCTACCGTGTTTCCCCAAAAATAAGACATCCTCCAAAAATAAGACCTAGCGCATGGAAAGATAAGACATTCCCTAAAAATAAGACCTAGCGCAACTTTGGAAGAAAAAATTAATATAAGACACTGTCTTATTTTCGGGGAAACAGGTTAGAAACCTATGTTGGGATTGAAATGGTACCAGGTGACATCTGTTCTTTTCAAAATTAACTTATATTATCCATGAACTAGAGGCCCAATATACGAAATTCGTACAAGGGGCTCGGCCCTCGCAGCTGTGGCTTCATCCAGGTGTCTGAAAGGTCATTTGGCTGTCCGGTCTAATTAGCATATCATGCTTTCATTATTATAGATATGATTATGATAGCTCCAAATAAGTGATTTTATTAGATAAAAATAAAAGAGGGTAAGATGAGTCATTATATAAAAATAGCAAATATTTAATATTTTCCCATTTAAGAGGACTTCCAATTTTTTATTTTTTATTTTATTTTATTTATTTTATTTTATTTTAAAGAGCTATCTGTTGGTGACCTGGTTAGACAGTCCTTTTTATGTGAAATTTACTTTACTCCTTATGTTCTTTATTATTAAGATGACAGTAGCCTACTAGGTCCACTGTAATGTACACAAATCTTTTATAACCTGGTTATATTTCCCCGCTGGAAGCACTGGTGATAGAGGGCATATCTTTAATGGGATTTGTGCAAAATTAAATTATACAGCCATCAGTGAGCATAGCCTAATGCAGAAGGTGGGCGTCAGCGAGTTTCTGCTATAACGGCAGCATGTGAGCAGAACGCAGATGTGGGGTCTGAAGCTCGCTGACAGGGGTGCCAGCTGAGCAGAGAAGTTAAACCCTTCATTAGACAGCACTGTAATTTGATGGGCAGAGTAGTCACGGTTCAGTGGCTCTGCACGCCCTGTCCAAAAGCGGCAGGCTCGGTGCTAAGGAGGATCGTCACAAGTGACTCTGAAGTTACTGAAGAAATGTTTGACAGTCCTTTGGGGTCAGGGGGCGTGTCCCTCCCCCAAGTAGGAGCTGAATAATAAAAGTCATCTGCTTGGCTGATGAGGCCCTTGAATGCAGCTGAATGTAATGAGAGCCAAGCAACCATCAGTGCTAACTGGGTGGTTGCTTCAGGAGAACAGGGTTTTGAGATATGACGTAGGGGTCACTCCTCCTCAGAATCCAGCCATCATTGGTTATTATGATCGCCACAACTGGACTATAACTTTAGAAACTGTTGCAAGCTGGATTGATTTATGGTATTCAGCAAATGTTTATAACATTTTAAGTAGAGCATTTATAAACAAAAATGAAAGAGGATGTATTATATACCATTCTATTTTGTTCTCAAATTTACTCTGCTTTCAGAAATAGTAAATAAGCAGGAATTATAAAGGACTCAGCAAGTTAATGCTACAGTTAGATTGAATCTAGTAAAAGGAAACTGTTAGGTGGTAAACATTATAGCAAATATTTTTGGGTACTTGACAACTGGGGATTACCACAGCACTTGCAACAGTCAGATAAAAACCTTATCCTACCAGCACATATGGTGTAGGAGATCATCAGCAGGAAATCAAATCAAGCTCCTTTTTTTACCCTAATTAGTTTGTAAGATAATACATGTTCATAATCCCAGTGTCAGCTATGCTTCGTCTTCAACTTTGTGACTTCCATATTCACAGCTGCACTCTCAAGCTAGTGGAAACAATACCAGTTCAACTCCACCAAGAAAAGCCCAGTCTTCAGGTCCCAAAGTTAGAAAGAGTGTGAGCAGCCGAGTTCACGAAGCAGTGACGGCTATTGCGCTTTGCCACAACGTGACTCCGGTTTACGAGTCTCGAGCCGGCGTGACTGGGGAGACTGAGTACGCAGAGGTGGACCAAGACTTCAGCGATGAGAACCGCACCTACCAGGCCTCCAGCCCAGATGAGGTCAGTCACCTTTCACAGAATCTCATTTCCCCGTGTTATTCCTCAGAATACAAAGCTGTGTCGGTCTGTGTGTTTCACTGGGACTCAAAAGCATGAGCATGAGTTCTTTTAGGAGTGAACAGGGGAGCTTTAGAATAGTGTTAATGCGACAGGCTGGGAAACCTGGGTAAGTGAGGACTTGCTGCATGTGCACTTGATCCTACTGTGTCCACACACCTCAGAGTACTAAAAGCTAGTCACAGGGCAGCAGGAGGGAAGTCAGTTGTCTGAGTGTATGAACTGATTTGAGTCTTGACAGGCTGCGTTACTCAGTTTCTTCTCATCTCCAAATGCATCATCAGGTTCACATATTAAATTTCCGGTTATGTTTGCCAGAATTTAAAAAATTTTTAAATCTACAGAAAACAGAAATGATAAAACATTAAATATGGTAATCAGTAATTTGCAACTTTATATTATTCTTTGATTTTTAGTTTAATAAAAATTTATTATTATCCTAGCCAATTTGGCTCAGTGGATTCAGGAGACAACAGTTTTATGTCCAGCATCAGCCTACAGACCAGAGTCCAGGTTCAATTCCAGTCAAGGGCATGTACCTCGGTTGCAGGCTCCTCCACATTCCGGGTCCTGGTCAGGACTCATGCAGGAAGCAACCAATTGATGTGTTTCTCTCACATCAATGTTTCTCTCTTCCACTCTCCCTAAAAATCAATGAAAAAATATCCTCAGGTGAGGATGAACAACAACAACAAAATCTATTATTTAACTAATTTGCCCAGTTCCCATACAGTCTTAGTATATTTTATATATAGTTTTCTTATATACTCTCTCCACTGTGGGTTCTTCAGATCTCTGTAAAGTAATCAAGCCAGCCATAGAAAATAGTTAAATATACTTTATTACACATCTACATTATTACATGCCAAAAATAAGTATAAATTTTGTTGAAAATACATAGGATTTTTCATCTTAGGTTTCTATAATACTTTTTGAATCTTAGGTTAGGAATTCACAATAGAGAGGGATTTTCTTGATTCAAAGATTACTAGAACTAAGTAGAAACTGTTTATCTTATATTTAAATGTGGACTTGTTTAAAATTTCTTCCTACTTTGGGAATTGGACAATGATTAAAAAGTAACAGAATAATTATATAACCATTAGGAATACGAATTTTAGTCTGAAAATGAAAAGGTTGGATATCATCATAATTTTAAAGGGCTCTATAGATGCAGTATTTGTGGGTCCCTGAAGCCTGAGGACGGTCATCTAAGGTCTCAGTACTGAGCTGAGTAAACTTGGCTACACTAGGCTAATGGAGGATGGCGATGGGTCCAGTCACCGGTGCTGCTTCAGAAACATTTTTATTAAATCAAGTGCTGAGGATCATGCACCTCAGAGCTCCACTCAGGGGCAGGACCCCATTGATGTTTTCTGTCCAACCTCAGCTGGGACCTGTCACAATATACATGCCTAGCAAGCAGCGATGTCGTCAGAAGACCACAGTGCTTTATGTTCCTCAGCTCTGTACCTCACAATCCCCATGCCATTATGGCTGTGTCATCTCAGCCTTTAAAGAGAACACACTTCATTAAGTAGAATGACCTCAGTGTTGATTCTACTCAATAGAAGTCTCATTTTCATTTTCTCAAAATGGAAAGGATATTTCCCTCACGCATGTGCATAAATAAGTCTTCGCAATACTAATAATGGAGTTCTGGGTGGGTTCATCAAAAATAATTAAGGTTTTGTGAGGCACAGTAATGAAGTATGTGTAGTAATGAAGTGTGTATAGTGATATTTTCAGATATGGCGAGTGGTGGGGTGTTCTGTTGGGTCAGTGTGAAGCCTGCTTACACCTGGTTGTTGTTTATTATGGTGAGTGATCATTAGTTCATTTTCTCTGGGAAGAGAAAGTTCCTTACCTGTCACTTTGTGTCCACAGCTTCTGCATAGCAAACTGCAGCTTAGCAGACATGAAAAGTTCCCTGGGAATTCCTGAACAGTTAAAGCCAGCCCTCTTCAGGGCTGTATCTGCTAGGTGCTGAGAGCTGACACTGAGCTAGTGTCAGGAACAGGCCTAAGTGGACATGGCCAGCATGCAGAGGGGCGCCAGCTCAGGTGATCCAGGCTCAGGATGACACAAACCTTGACAACCTCTACCCTCTTTTGGCCCAGAAAGGTGATTGGGTATGATTCTTGTGGCTGCGGACCCTGTACACCCACTATTTGGTAGTAACACTCTTCCCCCAGGGCCACACCCTTTATCACAGGTAGTTTCTACATTCAGATATCATTTCAGGGGTAGATAAATCTTTACTGGGTGGTTAGTGAAGAATCAGCTAAAATTTAGGACAAACCTAAAAACAGAAAAATGTTACATTAACAGCATTGCTTTTGAATTTACTGGTAGCGAAGTAAGCTATAATGTATGCAGCATGCTTCAGTTTAATCCATGTTATTGCTGTGCCTGTCGAAGCAGAGGACTGATTGTGCACTTTCATCAGCATGTCTGTGGGGAGCAGGTCCCTGTCAGTGACATCAACCCTCCTGTGACCCTCAGGAGCAGAAGAGAATGCCGAATCCATGGCCAGCCATGAGTATTGATTGGCAGTCTTTCCAGGCAATCAGATTGCAGTTTACATTCATAATTCTGTTATTATAACAATGATGGTAATAGCACAGATTATGATTGATAAAGTGTGTGATAAAAACTACCCTGGAGTATTGCTGGCAGCTATGCCTGTGTAATTGTCAAGATGATAAAGGACGTTTCCCATGCTGTTAAAGAATGATAGCACAGCTCATTCAATTTAACAAAAGGAAGATAAACAACCCAATTAAAAAATGGGCAAAGGACCTCAATAGACACGTCTCCAAAATGAACATACAGAAGGCCAAAAGGCATGAAAAAGTACTCAAAGTCACTGATCATCCGAGAGATGCAAATCAAAAAGACAATGAGGTACCACCTCATACTTGTAAGAATGGCTGTCATCAACAAATAAACAAATGATAAGTGTTGGCAGGGATGTAGAGAAAAGGAAACTCTCATGCACTGCTGGTAGGAATGCAACTGGTGCAGCCTCTGTGGAAAATAGTATGGAGTTTCCTCAAAAAATTAAAAATGGAACTGCCATTTGATCAAGTGATCCCACTTCTAGGAATATATCCCAAGAAGTTAGAAATGCCAACTAGAAAGGATATATGCACCCCTGTGTTCATAGCAGCACAATTTACAATAGCTAAGATTTGGAAACAGCCTAATCAGCAGATGAGTGGATTAAAAAAGTATGGTACATCTACACAATGGAATACTATGCAGCTGTAAAAAAGAAAGAACTCTTACCATTTGCAACAGAATGGATAGATAAATATCACATGATCTCACTCATATGTAGAATCTAATGACCAACATAAACAAATGAACAAAAATAGACCCAGAGACATAGAAACATTGAACAGACGGTCAAACCTCAGAGAGACGGCAGGGGAGAGTGGAGGGGAGCAAGAGATCAACCAATGAACTCATATGCTTATATGTATAACCCAAGAACACAAACAGTGGGTGATGAAGGCTTGGGAGGAGGGGGGAAGTGAGGGGGAAAAGAGACATACGTAATAGTTTCAACAATAAAGATTTATTTTAAAAAATAAAAATAAACACACACACAATAAAAGAATGACAACACAGAAACTTTTTAATATGAAATTGTAGCTCCCACCCCATGTTCTGTTTCCTCTCATTTCACAACTCTTGGAACTACCTTCCACACTGGTTACTAAGCATAAAGACACATGAATGTGTAAATAAACTTCCTGAATGTGTTGCTCAGTGCCTATGGATGAGACTTAACTCAGGCTTCCACTTACATATATTTTTACATCTCATTTTAATTATTTTTACTTTTGTATTATTGTCAATAATCATATTGTTAGATACTTCTGAAAGCTCTTGTGAAACAGTCATTTCAAATAAATTAAACCTTTACGCTCTAAGTTATCTTTACATTTCAGAGAAAAATATCTCAGGATTATGTCCTATTATAATGTCAAGCAGAACCTTACACATGAACATGGCAACACACAAGTACTGGATAAACCACTCAGTGCATGTTTCATTCAAATACTGACAAAAATCCTGAAGAGAGAAAATCAAGCAACAGCATTGAAAGCTCTTTTAAACAGAACCCAGACCGAAGCACTGAGGAAATCTCCCCAACTCTCTAGGACTCAATGTTGGGAGGAGGGCACATTCTTGGGAGGCCCACACCATCACTAACAGCATCCAAGGTACCATGAGGGCCGCACAGTTGGAAATTAAAAAAGCAGCAGAGAATTAATTGCTCCTGAGATAAATGTTAAGCTCTTGTTAGAAACCACCACACAGAGTATGCAGTGTGACCCAATATATTGTGGAAAAGGATGACCTCAGAGAAGCCGAGATGAAAACAGTCACTGAACAGCTCCAGCTCAGGTACCAACTCCCTGACTGCCAGCAGCACAGCGGTGGCAGGAGACAGAAACTCTATCTCAGCAAGTGACAGGTTAGGGAGTGCCTTGAAAGATAAGCCAGAGAGTGTGTGCATCAGGAAGAAGAAATGAAATATACAAACTTGGCATCCATGTAAAAACATTAGAAGAGCCATAGCCAGTTTGGCTCAGTGGATAGAGCATTGGCCTGCAGACTGAAGAGTCTCGGGTTCTATTCTGGTCAAGGACACATACCTTGTACCTTGGTTGCAGGCTCTTATGGGAGGCAACCAATTGATGTCACACATCTATGTTTCTCTCTCTGTCTCTCCCCTTCCCACTCTCCACTGAGCTGAACCAGCTAGAGCAAGAACAGCTCTTATCTTCAGACCACCACAGACACAGATGGTCAAGGCAAATGACAGGAAAGGCTCCAGGTCAGAACCTTTCCCAACAACGTAACTCCCGGCCCTGTGTCTACAAAGATGTCATCTTTGCAGCACAGGGGTGATGGTGGGTGCTGCCCCACCCATGGGCAGGACAGCAAGACTGCTGTTAGATTGCTGCTCAGGGCAAATAATCATAATCCAATACAGTCAAGGCTCATTAGCTGGCAATCTAATGTGTAATGTTTTGCTGTCCTAGATTTATGTCAGCCAACTATGATTTTACTCATTAAAATGAAATGTGTATTTTTAAATGATAAATTGGGGCTGAGGTGAAATGGGCACACTGCACAGGAAGCAGCGAAGGTGGTGGGACAGAGGAGGAACTTGCAGGGGGGGAAGGTCGTGGTGGAGGACAACCTTCCCATCCTCCTTTCTGCTGGAGATATGGCAGCAGGACACGAGGCTCTAAAGCAGTGGTCAGCAAACTCATTAGTCAACAGACCTGCAAACCGAGGCTCGCGAGCTAGTTTGCCGACCACTGTCCTAAGGCACGCCTGCACAAGGAAGCAACTTCACTCTGCACACCTAGGATGGGACATGCTGTGTGCCCTCCTGGGCAGTGGGAAATGGCACCTCAGTCCCTTCTGTTTCTGGGGTTTAGGTGAGGAACCAGGTGAGAAGGTTGTTTGAGTGTCCACTCCCTTATGCCTTTTTTTAAAAAATATATTTTTATTGATTTCAGAGAGGAAAGGAGAGAGAAAGATACAGAAACATCAATGATGAGAGAATCATTGATCGGCTATCTCTTTTATGCCCCACATTGGGAATTGCGCCCGAAATTCAGGCATGTGCCCTGACTGGGAATCGAATCATGACCTCTTTGTTCATAGGTCAATGTTCAACCACTGAGCTACGCCAGCCAGACATCTCTTATTTTAGAAAAAGGTCAGATACACAGAGAGAGTTGGATGGTTTGCTCTCTCATAGGCTCCTGGAATCAGAAAGAACCTTGGAAAGCCGATAGTGAGTGCCTGCCCACCGCCGAGCCCTCCAGCCCACTGTGTGTGCCCACTAAACCCTGGCTCTGGGCAGCTAGTAAACCAGAGCACACTCAGATGTGTCCTTTGTTTCAGAAAGTGAGATCAAGGGCTCTGTCATCCTGCTATTGTTGGCCTGAGGAATATTATTAAAAGTGAACACTAACACAGCTACAAAGATACACAAGTTCTCAGCACAGTGAGCTGTGTAAATTGGTCATCTTTTGGCCAAGCTTTCTGACTGCCAGCCTCTTGCTTTTCTTCCTGGGAAGCCAGTAGACTCACCTGTTGCTGGTCTCCCCCCAGGTGGCTCTGGTGCAGTGGACAGAGAGCATCGGCCTCACCCTGGTCAACAGAGACCTCACGTCCATGCAATTGAGGACGCCCGGCGGCCAGATCCTGACCTACTGCGTCCTACAGATGTTCCCCTTCACGTCGGAGGGCAAGCGCATGGGCATCATTGTCAGGGTAGGCATCCTCGTCCCACAATAATTGGGGGTGACTTCAGGTAGTTCTCCTGAGACAACTGAGGCAGAGCTAGTAAGAAGGGCATTTCCTCATTGTGTTTTGTTTTCAATAGCAGGAGCTTGCCGAAGATTTTAAAGTAAGAATGACTTATGACCATAAAATTGCTAAAATATACCCCCATTAAATTTTTAACCAATGCCAAAACTATATATTAGAAGTTGGCTAAACAAGGAAGCTTATTCAGTCAAACCATGAAAAGTAGAGAGAATTCATACTTACCTTGGAGTCCAAGGCGTATGTCCAATAACTAATTTTATTCTGAGCACCGCACAGTGACTCGAGATCTGCAGCTGTGTTCTCGATCTTGGTGCCCGAGCATCGGGGCAGTGTAGCTGTGTAGAAAGAGGTTCGAGCAGTGTAGCACTGGGCAGCTGCATGAAGACACTGTTCTGAGCCTGTTAGAGCTGCTGTCATTTGAGGAGCGGCATGGTCTGAACATACCCATTTATTCTCCTTCCTTGCAGGATGAGTCCACGGCAGAAATCACCTTCTACATGAAAGGTGCTGATGCTGTCATGTCCACCATCGTCCAGTATAATGACTGGCTGGAGGAGGAGGTAACTAGCGCTCTATCATGGGAACGTGTTCACAGATTAGCGAGCAGACAGAAAACCAGTGTGCTGTCCCAGCTGGTAGACCTGGGATTGGGGATGAATTAACACGCCAGGTTTCAAACCCAACACAGTATTTTTCAGGATAGTGTTTCCCACTGGATCACCTCAGGTGATACCAGCTCAGTTCCATGAGGTTGTTTAGTGATGAGCAGCTTCCTCTCTTTGTGCACAACTTCTGTGCTGGGATTTGCGTGACGGTATGTCATGCACACAAGTAGGTCCTGTGAAGAGTATTTTGTTTATTGGTGAAAAAGTAGAAAATTCTGAAATAACAGTGGACATATAGCCCATTTAATATACTCATTTTTAACCTAAATTATTTGCAAGGGGATTTAATTAGTATTTAAATCTAGTTCTAATTTGTACATAGGATTCACTTTAAAAATAGAAAGTAAGATACAAACATAACCAGTGCTCTACTGCATCAAATTGTCCCTAAACAAATATGACTTGTTTTAGCCTCATGAGGTTATAGTATTTGTTGTTTACGCTTATTTATTAATAAGAAGCTGAATTTGAAAGTAAAACTAAAGCCCTGCAGTTATAAACAGCAGCCTTTTAATGCGTGCACATTGCTGTTGTGTTAATATCTCCCCACCGTGGACAGGAGACCGTCTGTCAGTGAGGGCCACACCCTCCACAGAGGTATTGGCAATATGAATCAATAGCTCCTCGGGCACTGGGATTTAATCAGGAACATGAATAAATTAAACTCCCTGAAGACCTAGTAAAATGCCATAAAAATTACTTTTGGTCATAATGATGTGCAATTAATTATAAAATACTTGTTTAATGTATTTAGCTTTATGAGGTCAAATCAATAAATGTCCTGCACCAGACACATAATGTCAGATTGTCTTTCACAAAGATAACTTTATTAACAATCCTTTGTACATTTACTTCCTCAGCATTGCAGTTCTTCCCTTAGTTGAATCTTTGACCTCTGCCCATGTCTTGGTAGTCTGAAGACATTTCATGGGGGAGACCAGCAGGCTCTCAGAGCCCTGTGGGCTCCTCTGTCTCAGACAAGTCCCCAGGTAGGATTCTTGACTATAAACTTGTGTTCTGAAAATATTAAAAAAACAACAAAACAAAAAAACTACCAACACTTTTCACTTGTCATGTGACAGAAGGGGCCGATTTTACCAACCCTGTGGCGTGAGTCTGCATAAACTCCAGAACCAGGTCCTGGATGTAGCAGCTAACAGTGGCCGCCTTCCCTCGAAAGCGGGCTTGCCGTTCACCCCCAGACCTGATGTTAGGGGTGAACAGGAGTTAAGAATTGGGGAGCAGGGAAGTATGAGGGCACAGTGAAGAGCATACTGACATCCCCTGGGGTCCCTGTCCCCAGCCGGGACCTTTCGTCAGCTCTTTCTGCCATGTCTGCAGCTGTGTGTGTGATTGTGAGCATCAGACTAGTCTACCCAGTGAACTGACAAGGAGCTTCAGCAAACCCAAATGGCGCAGGCTTTGTATGTGCCTACAGATTTTAGCATCAGTGTAGTAAATGAGCTTTGCTGGAGATGAACCTCCTGTAGAGGGAGGTGACGTTATCTAGAAACATTAGCTTTGCCCTGAAGGGACAGTAGGCAATGACAGGGCCTCTGCACAAAGCTAGCGGGGTGAGCGAGCTTGGGAAGTTGTGTCTGCATGGTTTATCAGCGAGCCTGCATGCTTGTCCCTGGGCAATGCGGAATTTCCACTCATCTCTAATTCTAATGCACAGAAGGTCAGACACTCAAAGTCACAGTCCCCTCGGTGGCTGGGATGCAGAGCCAGCCTCCCTGTGAGAGCTGCAAAGAGGGCACCTTCCTCTCCCCTTCATGCTGTACAGATGCTAACAGTGCATACCCATCACTAGTGTTTGACTTTCTTTCATTAAAGTAGCTGGTTCATTTGTTAGCAATGTATTTGCTTAAACACATCATCACATTGTCAGCTTTACATTGTAAATGTACATCAAGACGCTGTTTTGATTAGTTGTTCTTTAGCTATGACTAGAGTCCTGTCCCCTGGTATTTGCTCAAAATATTTTGAAAAGACCCTGCTCCTGGCCCTGCCTTTGCCAGCCCCTTGCCCAAAAGTCCAGCACAGGGGGGCACCAGCAGATCCGGGAGCGATCACCATGGTCTCTGTAAACCACAAATGCCCAAAACAGGCTGAACAGCTGGAGTTTTTAGCTTTCAAAATATTGTCAAAGATTGAAAGTTGAAAGGCAGTCAGTGAGAGGGGAAGGGCCTTCGGCAGCAGGTAGCAGGTGGTCCAGGAGCCAAGTGGCCTGGATAATCCTGGGCTGTTGTTACTCTTGGCATCTCAACAGGTGAGCTTCAAACAGGTTGTTCAGAAATAAATAGCTTATTGTTCATCACATCGTGGCTTAAACTTTATTTTTCATAAGAACACGTTACTCTGCAGTACTTCTTACTTCTCACCACACTGCTCCGTGGGGTCTTCCTATTTCCAGGCCTCCCCTCCTCCCCCAGCTTAACTATCAATCTCCCTATGTTACCCGTGCCAGCACAGGGTAGCACGGAGCACAGTATGGTTTCAGGGTTTGTGGTGCCATTCTGACAAGTCTGGTTTGAGGTGGGAAAGCATGTGCTTGTCATCTGGGAGCTGCACTGTGACGCCAGCCCCACTGTGTGTGTGCACTGCTTGTTCTCGGGGTTCAGGAAGGGCAGGGCCATCATGGGGTGGGGGTGGCGTGGCAGCAGCCCCTGAGGGCACAGCTGCTAAGTGCTGTACCCACCCGTCTGGGCAAGGAGGTAGACTGGAAATGTCTGACCCTGCCGCTCCAGCTCCAGCCCCACTGGCACAGGACACAGGAACTGGAAGCAGAGATAAAAATGCAGAGAGGGTGATGACAGCACAGTAGCCTGCCTCTTCCTTTCCAGTGCGGAAACATGGCCCGCGAAGGTCTGCGCACCCTCGTGGTCGCGAAGAGGGCGCTCACAGAGGAGCAGTACCAGGACTTTGAGGTGAGCAGATCGTCTCTCTCCACCCTCAGACATTCATCCCTCGTGGGCTCTGGTGCTTCTGTGAAAATGAGTTCATACTGCTCATAGGACTTTGTGAGGTCGTGTGGCCACAGCTGGGAGCATCAGGACTTAGTCCCCAACCCTGTAATGGCCCCATCCTCTTCTGCAATAGAAGTGAGGATTTCTTTAGTGTTGCAAGTTTCCATCTATTCAGCAAGTCCTAAATGCTAATAAATATAAATAGCACAGCCCGTCTCTATCCTCAGAGCCGCTACATGCAGGCAAAGCTGAGTGTGCATGACCGGGCGCTGAAGGTGGCTGCGGTGGTGGAGAGCCTGGAGCGGGAGATGCAGCTGCTGTGTCTGACGGGGGTGGAGGACCGGCTGCAGGCTGACGTGCGGCCGACCCTGGAGATGCTGCGCAACGCGGGAATCAAGGTACGGCACCTGGAGCAGAGCGCGGTTTCCCTGTGACTGCATGACCTCTGTGCTGCCTTCTCTTCCTGGCCAGTGTGCCCTCTCTGTGCACACACGACATTAGCTCCTCCTGGCTTAGTTTCCAGGAAGGTGCTTTCTCACCTTGCGCTCCCGTGAAGTAGAGGCTCAGTTACAAAATGGTGGGCGCCTCAGGGTGGGTCTCCACTATGTGAAAGAAAGGAGCCCAGCTGCTTTTAGAAGAGAGGCTGTTGGGTATGTGGATGGTGAGACAGTGGAGGGGTCGGAGGCAGCACTGCACCCACTCCTGTTGGACTTGGCGCATGGAGCAGGTTGGTCAGGAGCAGAGTGTCAGTGAGCTCTGCACAGGGACCGACGCCCTAGCAGGTCAGGAGCGAGTTCAGTCATGAGAGCCACTCAGACTCAGACATGCAAATGACTGACGAGGGAAGAGAGATGATTATGACAGGTAGCTGCCCTGCTTGTTTTTCTGTTTCTTATCTGTCCATGCTGGATTATCCACAGGTTAGTTAGTCTGTGCTCCGTGTAAAGATTTAAGTACTTACATCAACTCCTCACTAAACTCAATAAGACTTCCTGGGGTTCTCTTTTTTTCTTACATTTCCAGCTGAAGGAAACCCCCTCACTGATGTGGGGACCTGATTTCAGCCATTCCTTGAAACCCAAGGTGCTGCTGCAGCCAGTCAGCTCACCCAAGCTACTCGTGGGCCCTTGACGTGGCCTCTCGTCCTCTGTGATTCTTATTCCCAACTTTGTCATCACAGCATGTCAGGGTCTTGGGTCCATACTCAGTAAAGTGAACACAAACGTGAGATAAAAAGCACAAATCCTCAGACACTGAGAAGAGCCAAAGTGTGTGGCACCCAAAGAATCCAGAGCACATGACACTTTTCTGTGTCCTGCTTCCAAAAATGCATGTTTACATGTGACACATGAGACACCTGAACAGTCCGGATAATGAGAGGTCACAGGAAGTTTTTGCTATAAAAAATGTAGAGATACTACTTGGTAATAAGTTAATGTTCTAGTTTTCTCTCTTTTTATTCTAGGAATATTTATATACATAATTTGTGCATGTGTGTGGGATTTAAAGTAAAAGTAGTATGATTTAACATGTGTTTTTTAAAATATATTTTTATTGATTTCAGAGAGGAAGGGAGAGGGAGATAGAAACATCAGTGATGAGAGAGAATCACTGATCAGCTGCCTCTTGCACACCTCACACTGGTGAATTGAGCCCAAAACCCGAGTATGTTCCCTGACCAGGTTTTTAGATTGATGCTCAGCCACTGAGCCACACCAGCCGGGCTAACATGTTTTATTTTCTAGAACTTCCAGCTAAACTGCATCTATTTGCCCTTTCGAACCTCAATTTTCAGCTGAATACCAGCCAGTTGGAACAGGGTCTTCAGGATCCTTCTAGTTCTTGGCCAATGACCATGTGGTGCCTCAGGCCTGGTTGTGTGGCGTGTGAGGTTGAGTGAATGCTGCCTGTTGGCATGTACTGTGTCCTCATCAGCCTCAGCCATGTGATTCCTAAACCCTGTCATTCGTGTGCCTCCAGATCTCAGCTCTGGGCCTAAAACTACTTTGCTGCCAGTTGTTTTAGTGAAGCAAGTCAAAAAGACTGTTGTGGAAAACATGAAATTTTTCCCATTGTTAGGTGCACAGCTCACAGGCACTAAGTGCATTCACAGTGTTGTGCAGCCACCACAGCACTCCAGAACTTCATCTTGTGAATCTGACACTCTTCCCTCAAAACCAAGCCCCCAGCCCCTAGCACCCACTATCTACTTTCTGTCCCTGCGAATCTGACCACTCCAGGGACCGCATACTAGTGGAATCAGACAGCATTTGCTCTTCGTGGCTGGGGGCATTTCACTCAGGACAGCATCCTCGGGGTTCATCCACGTCGCCTTGTGGATGTGCCATATCTTGCTCACCCATTCACCCAGGATGGACAGTTGGGCTGCCTCACATTCAGATATTGTGAATAGTGATGCAGTGAACTTGGGATGCCAATATCCTGCAACGAGAGACACTTTAAAGAGATGAAGTGTAATGCTGAAGTTCACCAGGGTAAACTGTTTCCTAGATATGGATGCTAACGGGCGATAAACTTGAGACGGCCACGTGCATCGCCAAGAGCTCACACTTGGTGTCGAGAGCACAAGACATTCACGTCTTCAGACCCGTAAGTCTGTCGAAATCACTTTAAATTTTAAATGTTGTATCTCACAATTAAAACCTGTAGATTCTGTGGGAATGTAAATACCGTTACATATTATTTATTGAATATCAGTTTTAAAAGAGAAATATTGCTACTGTCTTAATTTATGAAAACAGTAAGATAGGTTTCTATTAATACATTAACTGTGATCAAAAGTTGCTTTTTGATAGAAACAAGTTTTAAGTTTACAAGTACTTTTCTGTTGTTCTATTAGAATTATTTATATAATTAAATATGTGCTTTAAGTTAGACATGCTGTTCAATCTGTGGCGGTGTATATTGATACGAATTACATCTTCCTTAGTTACACATGTCACAGTGGTCAGAGCTGCCTCTTTGGGACAAACGCTACTACAGAGTTGAGATGTGTCTAATCTGCCCCTTTCCCCAAGCAAATGCTCTTCCTTAATTAGCTCAAAGAAATTTAATAGAGATAAGCTAAATTTATGTGTTCACTGTATGTATTAGTTATTTTTCATTTAATCAAACAAAAAATAAAAGTTTCTTGAGTCTTGATTGATGGTGGGTGAACAGACACTGTGTGTCTATGTCTGCTTTAAATGCAGCGCTTGTACCTACAGAAATAGTTATTTGAATATCATTTACATGTAAATGTAGTTTATTTCAAAACATCAGAATCGCAAATTAGGCCCTGCAGTCGACTATTTGCAATTAAATTATTAATGATTCTGGTAAAACGTCAGATCAATTTTTGTTGACTTTTCTGTGTTATAGCACCACAAATTAAAATTTCCACAATAAAACCTACCTATTTAAAGATGAGTCTGAGATTAATTTGTACTGCATGAAACTTTTAATTTATTTCAGTACTATAATATATCATTTCTTTTATGCCCCATAAAATCTCCACAGAAAGAATATCAAAAACCAGTTAATGTTTTCTTTCTAAAATTAATGACATTTGAACATTATGACTTGATTTTAATCTTTTAAATCATTTAATCTTTCATGTATTTGTTGAAGTGAACTAATAGAATAAGTTGAAAGCTGTGACACAGACAAGAGAAGCGACTTCAGGAAAGCATTTGCACCAGTGGTGTATTAGGAAAAGAGGCTTCTTTCAATCAGACGTTGACCTTGGGTCTCCTGTGAGGAACTCAGCTCCCTGGGCTCCTCTGTTGCTGCACTGGAGTATCATTGTATGGACGTACCACAGACTTAATCAGTGGTTACCATGGCATCCTGTGGGACTGTAGTGACAGAAGGCAAGGCAGTCATTAGCTCCTAGGTGCCTGTTACCCATTTCTGGACAAGCCAACTTCTTCTGTCCATTGTGTTTTATTGTAATTGCAATGTTTTTTCTGCACTTTACCACTTGTCAGAAAACAATCAGTGTTAGGTGAGGAGGTGTGTGTTCCCAGCACTGCAGAGAGGTTTGAAAGAGCTGCTCCTTACAGGACTCCATGTGGCAGGCACTTTGGGTTTTAGATCATATGTTTAACGACATCACTGTGGCTTGTAAATAAGCGCTTGTCAGTGCCTCTGGTTTCAACAACTGTACTCGGGTGCCCTCTTCCCTTTTTGCAGGTAGCCAGTCGAGGAGAGGCCCATTTGGAGCTGAATGCCTTTCGAAGGAAGCATGACTGTGCGCTGGTCATATCTGGGGACTCCCTGGAGGTAAGGCTGGTCCCTAGCCCGGCACGTGGCCATCTGTCTGCCCGCCTGTCCGTATCTCTGGCTCAGCATGTGTCCGCTTTTCCTGCTAGTGGACTGAAGGCTTTCTGAGTCAGATATGTAACTCAGGCTGCTTTTGCACATCTTTGTGACTTGTTAAGTAGTCCCGTTGTGGCGTGGTGGGTGTGTTTGTGAGCAGGCAGAGCCTGAAGAAGAGCTGTGCAGTACCTGTGGCTCCTCACCCGCCGGGAAGTGGGGAAGACCTTGCATGCTTGGATTGGCCACCATAGCTGCAGGTCGGTATGACCGGGTCTGTGTTCCAGGTGTGCCTGCGGTACTACGAGCACGAACTTGTGGAGCTGGCCTGCCAGTGCCCAGCTGTGGTGTGCTGCCGCTGCTCGCCCACCCAGAAGGCTCACATCGTGAAACTCCTGCAGCAGCACACGCGCAAGCGCACCTGCGCCATTGGTGAGCCCCTGCCCTCCCCTCCCCACACCGCACCTGGGGCCACACTCCCCACAGTTCCTGTAGAGTAACTTAAGAGAAACTGGTATCTTAATGTTTACAGACAAAGTTCTGTTCGACCTCCAATACCAGTTTGCTTTAATATCTACTGTGGGACATTCTAACACAGCTTCTGCTGGTAAAAGAGGGAAACAGGGCTATGGATAGGTTTGTTTATTTCTTCTCTTGTTGGTGCTCCCCAGGTGATGGTGGAAACGACGTGAGCATGATCCAGGCCGCAGACTGTGGGATTGGGATTGAGGGGAAGGTACGCTTATCCTGTCACAGCAGTGTCTCGAGCATGCCTTCAGTCAGCACCTGTTTGCTGGCCTGCTCTGTGCCAGGCTCCCAGGCACACATGTGGGCAAGGGCCAATCAGTCACTCTATGATCACCTTGATGAAATGCAGGTAGAAAGCAAGCAGGACAATGCCAATACCCTCCAGGGTTCCCGCTGTCCTCACATGACCTCTGGGCCCTCCCCATGGATGTCATCACATCCTCCAGCAAACCTTCTTGGTTGCCGTGGGACCTGCAGCTTCTCTCTTGGGCTTGACACATGGTCATTTTCAATTCCCGTGTTTCCTGGCCAACTGTGTGCTGTGGTTTGGGCTTTGTCTTTTATGCTCACAAAATGACACCCCAGAAACGAAGGAGGTTGCCGTCCAACTTTTGTCTGGCTCTCCACTCCTCTGCTGACAGCTGTGTGTTGGCAGAGTATTTGAAGGGCTTCCCTCACTTACACTCAGAGGCTTCATGAGATGGCAGGTGGGTGGCATTTAGATGCAAGAGAACTAAAGCTTATTAGACAGTCATCCTGAAGGTTCCCGAGATCCTTGGGCCCGTCTCCTGGGCAGCCTTGCCATGTTCTACCTCAGCTGAACTTCTGTGATTCTGACAGACGCCAAAGGAATGGTCCTGGCTTCCTGGCCAGCGCCCTTTTCCCGTCATCAGCTCCTAGTGCTGTGCACTGCCTGCCCCTCCCAGGAGCTGTCCCTGCAGCCCCGTCACTTGCCCCAGAGGCCACTCCTCACAGTGGGGCCGAGGTTCTCAGTGTTCTCTTACTGGAGCTCTGCACGTGTGCTCCAGAGCACAGACTTGCTGTGCGGTTTGTGAGGCACCTTTACATTGCAGGAGGGGAAGGCAGCCTCGTTGGCAGCTGACTTCTCCATCACGCAATTCAAGCACATCGGCCGGCTGCTCATGGTGCACGGGCGGAGCAGCTACAAGAGGTCTGCGGCACTCGGCCAGTTCGTCATGCACAGGGGCCTCATCATCTCCACCATGCAGGTGCGCAGGCGCCATGGGAGGCATGGAGAGGTAGGGAGTGTCGGGAAGGCCCATGACTAACTACTGTCCTGTCCTCTCTCCAAGGCTGTGTTCTCCTCCGTCTGCTACTTCGCCTCTGTCCCCCTGTACCAGGGGTTCCTCATGGTGGGGTAAGTACTGGGAAGGAGAAGCCCACACAGCAGGTGCCTGAGTGGCCATGCACAGTCAGTGTTTACATGTTGTTGCTGAAGAAGGAGTGAGGCTCTGCTTGCGTGAATATGGGGACGACACCCACTTGCCATCCCTCTTATAATTTTACCATTTAATTAGAATTTCTGTTTTCACGGCAAAGTCATAACACATGTCAGGAATATGTCAGATCCAAGATGTTTGAAAGCATCCTGTGTGTCATTAAGAGGAAGAACAACAGCCCATCACCGTCCCAGGACCAAGGGTCCTTCCATAGCCTCTTCTCTCGCTCTCTCCCAACATCCTCCTCCCTGGCCACCGCAGACCCTGCCACTCACAGGCCAGGGCTTTCCTACAGCAGCGGCAGTGAGCACACAGGCTCCCAGCTGTTCTGAAGCCATCCCCTCCCTGCAGCATCCCCACGTCATGCGTGACAGCAGAGACCCAACGAGCCCAGAAGGCCTCAAGGCCACAGGGCTGGTAGGAGGCACAGCCAGGACAGCTCAGACAGTGACACACGCTGCCCTCCCGGCCACTTCTCCTGCAGCGGTCAGCACGGAGCAAACACACGGTCAGTACATTTCCTCCGGCTGCAGGCAACACAGATCTCCCATGCCTGTCCCTATTGTCTCAGAAAGAGGACAGAGGGCAGGGCCAAAAAAGGACTTGAGGAAATAATGGCCAGAAACTTCCCAAATTTCACAAAAGACAAACCTATAGATTCAAGAAGGTAACCAAACACCAAGCAGCCTCAATCCAAAGAAATCCACCAAGTCACGTCATCAGACACATGAAAACTAAAGGCAAACACCTTATAGCAGGCAGAGAGAAGACGTCTCTGGGAAGAAAAGTTCAGCAACAGCGGTGTCCTGGCAGGAGATACCTGGAGCTGCATGCAGTGAAGGCATCTCTGGAACTTCAGGAAGTGTATGCTGCCACAGGCCAAGGAGCTCATAACTGCCTCGCAGGACTCCACAGCCCAGGACAGTCCCACTTACCTCAACCCACCAACGGGAACAGCAGTTCTCCCAGCGCAGGTGCAGAGCTGCTCAGTGGCAGTGCTGTGGAAAAGCAGACTTAAAGCTCAGTGAGACACACTAACCATCTGAGCGGCTGGGACCATTGTGGTAGGGCCAGCCACAGAGAGAATGTGGAGAAATCATCCTCCCACACTGCTGGTGGGAACGTGAAACGGACAGCCACACTGGTGCACTGTGCGGCAGGGTCTTACAAAAACCACACACCATCAATCCAAAATAAATGAAAACTTATTTTTACCAAAAAAAAAATCTCTGCTAAATGTTTATGGCAATTCTAGTTGTAATAACCAGAAACTGGAATGACCGGGATGTACCTCAGTGAACGGTCTGGTCACAGAGACTGCTAAGTCTACAACCACGGACAATCAAAAGGAGGGAATGTTGGTACAGCAGCCTTACATCTCTGCAGGGAATCGGGCCGAGTGAAAGTGCCACCCACAGGCTACCTGCTATGTGACCTGTGTGTGCACCTTGAAGTGAACAGATTAGTGGTGGCCAGGGGCTGAGGGGCCTGGAAGGGAAGAAGTGGCAGGAGGGCCTGAGTGCAGATGGCCCATGTCTGCACTGTGTCCTTGTCCCTATTCTGGCTGTGAGCAAGCTGCAGCTGGTTAAAGGGCACAGGCTCTCTGTGTTACATCTGATCCCTGCACATGGGTGCACAACAATCTCAGAATGTTTAATGAGGAAGGAAAACCGGGTCCTGCCACCTGTGCCTGTGTGGCTTGCAGACTGTGGCTGGGCGGTGAGTGGGATGAACATTGAGTTTCAGTGCCACCTTGTGTTTGTTCTGTTTAGTTTTATAACCTTTGGCCTGTGATTGCAGAGGGTGTTCCTCATGCTGACTTCACTCTCCTCTGGGCTCTCAGGTACGCGACCATCTACACCATGTTTCCAGTGTTCTCACTGGTGCTGGACCAGGACGTGAAACCGGACATGGCCATGCTGTACCCAGAGCTCTACAAGGACCTCACCAAGGTACGGCCAGGCCAGCACCTCCCGAGCTTGCAGACACTCAGGTGTTCCACAAGAACACTTATAGAGAGAAGGTGCCCTCATGAGGCAGTTTCCCAGCAGGTTTAAATCTGTTCTGTTCTTCCAGACATTTTTTATTTCTCCTAGTTGGTTTTGATATTTTTCTTTTGAGTTAACCTTCAAAACAGGGAAACATAACCAGCAAAAAAGCTTTCTCAGACATTGGTGATGACGCTCTGATGTCACAACAAAGTCCTAATCTAAGGGCACTCTCACCCCTGGGCTCGTAGGAGCTCCTTTCCCAGTTGTGGTTCCACCTGGCACCCTCACACCGTCTGTCAGGCACAGGCAGCATTCTAGCAGTTAGGACCCCAGGAGTCACCTATATCTGCAGGGGGCTGCAGGATCACACCTGTGTGAGACATGCTTCTGTCCCCAAGACCCATGTGCCATGGATGCCATGATGCTGCCACACAAAACTCCAGCCCCTGAAACTATGCAAAAGATTCGCTTATTTACCTAAAATTGTACTGTTAAGGTTAAAATAATCCTGGAAGACATTTTTAGCTTATTATGTTTTTTGTGGACGCATCTTTTTATAGCACAAAAAATACTCTACATCCAAATATAAATCATAGTGACTTTGGAATCTTCTAGAAGGCTTGCTTTTCCTGAACCAACATTCTGAGAGCAAAGTCCACTAACCCTCAAAATAAATTTAGGTTTACAGTTGATAATCTGTTTCTGAGGCGACAGTGGCATATGGGGCAGCAAAAAAGAAACCTCACTGAACACAAACCAGTGCCCTGTAGCCCCTGATCCCTGTCCAGTCATAGTGGTGCTTAGCTTGACTTCATGGAGTTGCTATGAGGATCTGGTGTACAAAATCCCATACTACTCTGATAGTCAGGACAGAAATAGAGCTAGCTCACCAGTATAGTATACAATAAGATAAAATAGCAAGCATTATGGTTATGATGATAATATTGTGAATATTACAACTAGAATAAAAAGGTTTTAGATTAATCTTCTGAAATGATGAAATCATTACCATTCAGTGAAGTAGAATAGGGTAAGAGATTCAAAACCCATAGGAAGCTATTGCAAATAATTGTGATTTTAGTAGATACTTCCCTGTTTCCAAGTCTGTAGACACTTACATACTGCTCACAGAAATACAGGGAAATGAGCTTTTATGTAGAATATAAATTAGGTGAGCTACCCAGAAATAGACAGTTGAGTCTTGCAGGTCAACCCAGACCAGCTGCCCAATGGTCGGTGTAGGATTCTCAGCAGCTCAGTCGGCACCTGGCGGTCACTGGCAGTGAGACAGCAGGCACATTGGCCTCCAGTGTTTAGGGCTTAGACTGTGCCCACCAGCAGCATCCCTTGATGGCTTTGGGAGTCACTCCAGGGGCAGAACGGGTTCACAGGGTCACCAGCCCCTGAGCTGAGCAGCTGACTCCTCTCAACCATAAAGTCAATGCCATTGGCTGATGGGTTAAACATGTGGGGATGTTGGGAAACCTTGTTCAAATCTGACTAAGTTGAATTTAAGGTGCTAGCTTCCCATTCTGTTGTGCTGACCAGCGATTTAGTATATTTCAGTACCCCAAAGTCAGGACACTGAATCTTTTTATAACGGCTTAGTCACTTCTGTCCTCCAGGCTCCTTTTCGATAAGATCCAAAACCTATGCTTCTTGTCCTTAAGTATGTATGTCTTTAAAAATCTCATACACATCACGTCTTTTGAAAACAAAGTAGAAAGTAGCCTTAACGTGCTCACTACTTGACTTGGTGAGACCCAAGGTGCTTCTCCTCTTGGCAATGGAGAGAGTTTGTGACGCTGGACGCTCAACCAAGTCAGTCTAATGCTGTGTTGTCAGTGCTGGCAGGAACTGGGCAACATGCATCTGTGACTCTGCCTGTGGCAGGTGTGGTGAGGGTGCTGTGCAGGGCTGGTGAAAGCGTGTGAGACATGGCTCCTGCCCAGCAGCCCACGTGCAGCTGGAGGGAAACATGAGTACAGGCCGTGGCAACGGCAGCTGTGCAGCAGCACAATGAATAAGAGCAGGCAGGGTGTTCATATTGTCTAGGGACTGAACTCTCTAGTAAGCTGTGAGCAGAAATCCAGGTCACAGAGAACGTGAAACGCCTTTAGAGGTCATCAGGCAGGCAGAGGACACACCCCGGGCAAAGTGGAGGAAAGCACTGTGCTTTGAAATAAGCGTCTGTGCTTATACCTCTTTGTAAACAGTCTCTGATCTGGGTGAGCGGCCCAGGCATCGCGGGTCTGGCTTACTGTCGACGAGATGCCGAGCTGCTGTGCCGTGCCGCCTCCGGGGCTTTGCACTGGGAAGCGGGGTCTGCTCCCTCAGTATTCAGATCGATTAAACAAAGATGTGACTGCGCCTTCTTGCCAACACCACAGCATCTGCATTCCTACGGAAAACAATGTGATCATGACAGTAATACCTAGGTGTCCCTCAGTGCAGTCACTGGCGCTGGGTGCTGCAGGACTGGGCATGTGCTCATTGCTCTCCTGCCTGCAGCCGGCTCTGTGGTCCTGAGGGCCTGTACCTCTTGTGAAAAGCCCTGTGCCTGGGCTCAGGGTCGGGACTAAGATATGTCAGTGCCAGAGCGCTGCCTCAGCAGAGCCAGAAGTGTCTCAGACATCAGCTGTGAATTCAGTTCCCAGCTCATGGTTTTCCATTCATGATAAACTGCTAACCAGAGAGACATCTGGGTGTAGTTGTGCTAATTGTCAAGTTACCAAGTAGGTGACGCTGTGCTGTCCTTGGTAAAAGTCTGAATCATCAGACGTTGGACAGTGAGGACTGCTTCACTACCTCTATTTTCTGTTGAACAGTCTCAACCTGGTTTAACTTTTGAAATGTATATTTGCACCTATATAGTTTTTAAAATAATAGTGATAAGGCATGGAAAGGACATTAAAGGCATGGACATAAGAAGGAAAAGTAGAAATATCTGTGCTATCGCCATAGCAGTCTGAGTAGAAAATTTCAAGTGATCCACACAAAACCTTTTAAACGAGGAGGTTTGAGAAGGTGCAGGATCCAAGGAAAAGGTATCTTAACCACTTAAACGAATGGTTAGCAATGAACAAACAATATTGGTATATTGTTTTTTGCTGGTATAACTAGCAAAATACATGTAGGATATTACACTGAGTGGCCAGATTAATATGATCTCTGAACAAATAATAATTTGTCCACTAAGTGTATATCCTATATAATAAAAGGCTAATATGCAAATTGTCCCCTCGACCAGGAGTTCGACCAGCAAGCAGGCCAGCCAACCCCCCATGTCCCTTTCCCCTGGCCAGGCTGGCCAGGCTGGCCAGGCCTCACCCATGAACGAATTCATGCACTGGGCCTCTAACACACACACACACTCACTCTGAGTGGCCAGATTATTATGCATTCAGAGATCATAATAATCTGGCCACTCAGTGTGTATGCTAAAAACTAAACCACTGAGGGAGAAATTTGAAGGTGTAAATGAATGTTCACAGACTGGAAGACACGATGTTGAAGGATCTTGACCAGCAGATTCTAAGATTTATATGGACAGTTAAGGGAACAGAACCACCAAAAGGTTTTGGAAAAGAACAAGATTAGAAGACTTTCTGTGAAACAGCAGTCACAGCACAGCACAGGACAGACAGAGTGGCCTGAAATGAAAAGCCAGAAATACAGCCAAATGCAATAGTCATTCTTTGACAAACATAAAAGGAAACAAGAGGAGGAAGGGTCGTCTTGCCAGCAGCCGATGTGCTCACAACTGGGCACCCAGAGGCGGGAGCGGACCCTTCACCCGTGCCCACGCCTGCCATGGAAATGCCCTCAGGATGGATGAGGACCTGACTGAAAGGTGAGACTCAACCATGCAGAAGAAAACATGCTCGACTATAATCAGGCAGAGCTTTAGACAGGGTCAGAGCATGACTCCTAAAATGGGCACGTTGGTCTTAATCATCACTAAACACTGCTGTTCTGTGCAGGGCCTGTTCAGGGAGTGAATAGACAAACTCAGACGCAGGAAGTGTCTGCAGATGGCACCTCTGCTGGAGGACTTGTACCAGAATATACAGAGAACCTCCAAAATGAACAGAATTCATTTTCTCAGTGGACAGGAGACCGGGGCAGGCGCAAGTAGGTTCACAGAAATGTTCAGTGAATTAAAATTAAAACCAGAGACGTGACCATGAAGTCTGAAAAGGGCAAAACCCTGGAACACCAGCACCACCACGTGCTTGGGGGGACACAGCAGGGCCCCTCTCACTGCCGAGGGGTGCCAGCGCCCAGCCCCTCGGGAACAGGGCTTGGCCATGTCTTACGAAGTGAAGCGTGCACGTGCCATCAGCCCGGCAGCCCAGGAGGAAGCACGTGCGTGTTCACACAGAACCCTGTGCACTGAGCTCGGTGCACCTTGTCTTAATGGCCCAGCCTGGGAATGACCAGGTGCCCTTCACTCAGCGACGGTGCCCACACAGGACAGTGAGAGGGCGGGGGGAGCCGTCTCAACAGCACAGCTGATGCTGAAGTGCGCTTGGCCACACACAAGGCAGGCTCAAACATGTGTGATCCCAGCATGTGACCCTCTGGGGCGGGAGCAGGTCAGTGGCTGCCCCAGGTTCGGGGTGGGAGGGTGGCTGGCAGGGCATTGGGCAAGAGAGCTGTCGGCTCAACTCGGGGGCCCATGGTGTCTGTTGGTCGGAACGCAGAGATGCATGGGACGCAGACTGACAAATACAGCTCACCCTAGGAGAGACAAGTCACCTCCATGCTGGCAGGGATGGACCATGCAGTGGTCCCTGGGAAAGTGTCTGACCGAGTCTGTGGCGAGGCTGGGGGCTGCGAGCTCAAAGGAGCCCTGGCTGCAACCGTTGAGTGTCTCGCAGGAAAACTAGACTGAACACATGGATGGCACATTGCTGGCTGATGAGAGGCAAGGCCAAAGCTGAAGAAGGGACAGAAGGGCTCACTGTGCCAGCGAGGCACAGGCAGAAGGAACAGGACCTGCACGTGTGTGGGTGTGTGGGAGCCATCCTCACCCATGTCCAGGAAGTGAGGGAGCACTCAGACTACTGGGTATTGACAGCAGGAACCCACCTGAGAGTTCCCAGTGAGCACCAGGAGCTGCACGCGGCCCTCAGGGAACGGAGCTGGGACTTGGAGAAACCAAGCCCCAAACAAGAAACAAAAGCCACAGTGAGGGGAACTCAGGAACTGCCTCTGCCTCGCCCTGGACTTTGTCCTCACACACCAGCTGGCAGGCATTTCAGCCGCGGCTTCTCCCAGTCGCCCTCTGAGTCAGAGCCGCTGGTTCCCGGGGTTTCTGCCCCAGCCCTGCACACACACGCACCGTCCCTCAGTAGGTGCTTCTGGTGGGTTCTGACTGCACTGCCCCAGCTTAATTGCCTAGACAGACCTTCTACCCCAGACAGCTCAGAGAGACCGCACCCATTCCCCGAGCGCACAGATGGGAGCTCCGACTCAGCAGGGTGGGGGGGTTGAGTCTGAGTGGTCCTGGGCCTGCAGGAGTCACCAGGCTGAGCCGCGGGAGATGTGGTTAACTCGCTCTCTGCTTTTTCCCCAGGGCCGGTCCTTGTCCTTTAAAACATTCCTCGTCTGGGTGTTAATCAGCATTTACCAAGGTAAGAGCGCTGCCCCTGCAGTGATGCCTGTCTCCTGTCAGTCCTTTCCCCTCGCAGTCCCACCCACAACCACATTCCTGTCCATCTAGTGATCGCCCTCCGCAGCTGTCCGCCAGGCCCTTCGCTGTGCAGCATTTTGTTAACCGATGATTGCTACCTAAAAACTTACTGTTTTTAATGAAATGTAAATCCAGAAACACTTTAACAAGCACTTATCACAGTGGTTCTTTCCAGGAGAGACAGCGGGACGTGGAGAATCTGAGTCGAGTGGTCACAGGTTGCTGGCCGCCTGTGTAGTTCCAGACAAATGAGAGGTGGTTGGAAGTGAGATTACTGGAGACCAGACTTACTGCAGCGAGGCCCAGGCTGACCTCACTAACTGCAGTGGAGGCCTCCTTCTCCAGGCACTTCATTCATAAGCCAGAGTTTAAGAGAATAGCGTGGGAGGTTGGGACGTTTATAGCCCACGACTCTTATAAACGCCAACCAGCTCTTCATGGCCCTTTTCATGCTCCTCACATGTAACAGGATCTCCAGGCCCCAGAAAGTCTGTCACGGAAAAGCCACACCCGTCACCCTGTGTCTTCCAGGCGGCATTCTCATGTACGGGGCGCTGGTGCTCTTTGAGTCGGAGTTTGTCCACGTCGTGGCCATCTCGTTCACGGCCCTCATCCTCACCGAGCTGCTGATGGTGGCGCTGACGGTCCGCACGTGGCACTGGCTGATGGTCGTGGCCGAGTTCCTCAGCCTCGGCTGCTACGTGGCCTCTCTGGCTTTTCTAAATGAGTATTTTGGTAAGTTGCCTTGGAATTATTTCTGGATAATTGTTTTTTATTTTTAAACATTTTTTATTATTACTTCTTCATACATTGTCTAAATTGCAGTTCACAGTAAAACCCGCATCAGAAAGCTTCAAACAAGCTTATTTGGGGAAAGATTAAACTCCTTATAATAATTTATAAAATCAAGGCATTCACCATCTTGGCTTTTAGAGAGATAGTGACCGTGACATGGAGACCCCTTCACACCAAGGCTCTGTGTTTGGCAGCTCCCGCCGTCCTCCTGCATACACAGGGCACCGTGTGCATGGCCTCAGCCCCATCAGCAGGTCAGCTGCCAGCACAGTGGTGTTAGCCCCTCGCCAGCACTGTGGCATGGTGTCACACACTCGGTGGTCCCCCCCTCGCCCTCCCAGCTCTGCCATCCCCAGCCAGGGGCCGTGATGCTTCACGAGAGCTGATAGTGACTGAGACCCTGGATGAGTGTCAGGTGGTGGCTGTCCCCATGCTCTCCGACCAGACTCACCCTCATCTTCACACTTAGGTGACCTCTGATGCTTCTCCTTTGAGCTCAGGGACACAGGAATGACTGTCCATCACAGGCACAGGCCTGGTGGCAGCTGGCACATGACAGTCCTCCACCCTGCCCGAGACAGCAGCACCCTGCAATCTGCCCTCGCCTGACTCTGATGGAACCCTGCTCGTCAGTCACCCTTCTTCCAGTTTCAGGCCTTTCCAGCCGAGACTGAGAGAGATTTCCCTGTGTGACGCCAACTGATGGCTGTGTCTGACAGGACCTGTGAGCCTCTTTAAGGTTTAAATCGGGCAAAGAGAAGAGAAGGAGTGTGGTCCATGCTACAGGTGGCTCTTTGTCCTCAGCGTCGGGCAGTGGGGTGGTGACTACTCCCGCTGTAGTAGAATGCAGGGCAGGGCGCTCAGGGACATGGGGCTGTGCCAGACCTGGCTCTCCAGCAGGTTTTCAGGAGGGAAACGTGCCCGCCTGTGGAATGTCACCAGCACCATGGTGCAGGGATGCATCAGGAGGTCTCATCCCACCTCTGACAACACACGGGTTTCTGCCACTTGGAAAGGCGAACACTGTAAATGACTGGTTTTTCATGTGCCTCTTCCCGTAAGAAAGTCAGACCGCCCGCCGTTAGGCTGCAGCTCTGTCACGGCCCCAGAGCAGGGCCACCGCTGTGCTTCCCTGGCCGAGGCCGAGGGACAGGAAGGACAGGCGAGCAGTGTCAGCACCGCCTGCTGTGTCCCTGCACCTGTGGCCCAGCGGCTGTCCCTGGAGGAGAAGGTGGGCCTGGGCATCTGGCACATCACAGGGTCCCTCCTGCTGCCGGGATTCCTCCTGGACCAGCACTCGGTGCCGAGTGGCTGCCACCGCCCGGCTTGGGTGGCGCAGGTCACACTCTCTAATGTGCTCCCATGACCGTTAGGAGAGTTCGTTCTCCCTGGAGCGCAGGCAGAGCAGTGCTTTAGAAAGAACCTGCATTCCGCTGGAGTGACTCGGGTGCACTGCAGGTGGGGCCTGTGTGCCATGGGCGCCTGCGGCCTCCCTGACGGCCTCTCTCACCGCCTGTGTTTCTCCTGCAGACCTCGCCTTCATCACCACCATGACCTTCCTGTGGAAGGTGTCGGCCATCACCGTGGTCAGCTGCCTCCCGCTCTACGTCCTCAAGTATTTGAAGCGCAAGCTCTCCCCGCCCAGCTACTCCAAGCTGACCTCCTAGCACAGCGCCTGTGGCACCACGGGCTCCGGGTGCAGGTGCGGTGGCTCCTGGGACAGGACAGCACGGAGCCCAAGGAGCTCTGCCCTCGCGGGGGCGGCTGCAGGAGGCGCCTCCCATGCCAGGCGGCACCCCGTCCCTTCCTTTTCATATCGGACTGGCTTCCGCTTCCGTGGCACATGAGCTCTAATTATTTCACTGTTACTGTAAAGCATTCATCTTACTCTGGTTTCTGAGAATTAAAACGAAAGCTTATTTAATACTTAGCAGTTTCCAAACATTCAAGCGCTTTCTTTGATGTTACAGCAGAAAGTCATTCCTACTGAACTGGAATAAAACGCAGGTGCTGAAATGCAGTGTGTATGTCCTGCAGCTCCTGGGGACCATGTGTGTGCCACCCATGGCCCCTCCCTGTGGGGTGGCCCATTCACATGCTCACCTCCTTCCGGCCCAACGCTTGGTGCTCCAGTGACATGAGCAGATGGCACCTCACACTCAGTGGAGTGAACTGAGGTGGCTTCCTGCACCTCTCCTGCGGCAGCTGTGGCTAAAGTTCTGTCCTCACTCGTGGGACATCACACCTGACCGTAAAGCCATGTCTGGGCTGGGCGCCCTGTCCCTGGCTGCTCAAGTTGCAACCATACACACTCACCTGACCCAGAACAGGAAGACCTGTCCCCAAGTGTCACCCCCACCTCCGAGCGCCTGCTTCTGCTGTTAAACAGCATTTTCATTGGATAAGGAGTTACCCCTCCCGCTGCTAGGAAGTGGGAAGGGGAGAGGGTGGTCTGGGGGTTCCTGGCTGGTGGGTCAGGCTACCTAGCTAACTTTGCTAAACTGAGGCTTCAGGCCTTGAACCAGGCATTTTGGGTCTGTTGGTGCCCTTCATGTCCCAGACCTGGTGGAGGGTGGTGCTGGGCTGGAAGGTGTGAGCCTGCCTGCAGTTTGCCCATCCTTCTGTAGTGTTCTTGGCCCCGCCCAGAGCTACAGTCTGATCCACAAAACTGGCCAACCACCACCTGGCGCTGGGCTCAGCCAAAAACTTGCCTGCCAGCTCGGGGAGCTATTCCCAGTGCCACCACAAGGTGTCGCTATTCACTGGTCTCAGCCCAACAGCAGCTGTGGGGCTTGTGGCTGGTTTGCCTCTGCATTAACGTTCCCAGAGGTCCCTCCAGGTCTGGACTGACCTGGGCCTCATGCGTCCCCTGCCTCCGGCTGAGAGCAGCAAGCAGGCGATGGTAGCGCTGGAACCCAGGCTTCACTGGGTACCTGGCAGACTGAAGAAGGTGGCCTAAGTGGCCACTCCTTTCAATACACCACACCCTCTGGCCGCCAGCTCCATTGTGACAAACAGGAATAGGAGAAGTGGGAAGGGACACACAGCCCTGGGTTCCTGTTGGGCCCATTGGAGTAGATGGGTCGGCCGGCTTCAGGAAACCAAGATTGTCTGCGTCCAAATCAGAGTTGCCATCTGGGCAGTGAAGACGGTGTCCTCCTGGGGAGCTGCTGTCAGGCCCCAGGGAGCTGGCAGGTGGCGGTCATGCCCCCGAGCAGGGTGTCCTCGTGGAGATGTGTGTGCACTGGGCCAGGTGACAGGGCCGTCAGGTCTGGGGGCACCTGGGCCACTCACACTTCTAAGCCCTGGAAGCCTCGTCAGCCCCAGAAGTTCTGATGAGTGGCTGACCCAGCCCGTAGGACTTGAAAGTTATTTCTGCATTTGGGGGCCTGAGACTTGCATTTCAGTGGTTTGCTTGTGTCCTGGATCTTCTGGCTGCTGGGAACTCCACAGAGAAGGGACCATCCTGCTCTCCACCCCCCTCAACCTCACCCTCCCCACGCGCGGACACACACACACACACACACACACACACACACACACACTGGGAGTCCACTGTGTGCCTCGTGCAGATGCCCAGCTTACGGGTCAGCGTGGCAGCTGTCCTGGGGAGGGAGCCGGTGAGATGGAGGGAGTGCCAGGAGGTCAGGTAACGGCTGCTGTGAGTGGGTGCGAGGGAAGCTGAGGATACAGAGGGCCCAGGGCAGAGGCCGGCTCACAGGCCGTGCTGCCCATGCGCCTGAGAGGTCCCAGAGGAGGAAACCACATGGGGACAACCCTCCAGAAGTGACCAGCGGGAGGAACAACCCCAAGTCAAGGGAGCCCAGACATGTGTTCACGCTGGTGGTGGGTGCTCACCTATGAGGCCAGGTGAGCGGTGTTGGGGAACAGAGAGAGAGAGAGAGAGAGACAGTGGGAGAGAGGAGAGATGAGGAGAGACAGAGACTGGGAGAGAGCGCTGCAGGGCGGCAGCTGCTTTGGGGGTTCTGTGGAATTTACACGGCTCGGTGGTGTCTACAGTGTGTCAGCGTGTTCAGATCATTGGATTTTGGAGCAATGTGATGGAGAGCAGAGGGACAAGGGTGTGAGTTAGAGACGGAGACCAGTTTGAGAGAAGTGACTACAGGTGGGGTGAGGAGGTGAGGACATGTCCCAGAGCCCCTGACCTCAGTGGCACTCAGTCATATATGGAGTGGACTGGGTGGCTGGATGGACAGACAGAGGAGCAGGCGGTGGATGGATGACAGGGGTGGGAGGGTGGGCTGGCCTTGTCCCACATCAGGGTGGTGGTCACCTGACACTTGATAAGCAGTGAGGGCGGACATTAGAGGCACAGGGATGTTATTGTAGAAGTGGCTTTCCCCAGAGCCGAGTGTGACCGGAGGCTCTCAGCTCCTCCTTGGAATTTTACCCAAATCTGAGGTGAACAGGCGCCTGGAGTTCGACCGTGTCCTGGACTGTGGTGAGGAACGTGTCGAGGATGAGGATGGGGGAAGGGGGAGGGGGGACATGTGGGGAGAAGAGGGTGTGGGGACTGTGGGGATGTGAAAACAGGCCTGGAGCATCATGGATCCTGGGACCTTTGTCTCAGGTGGAAAGGGTCCTTTGGCGATTCCACCTGGGCCTCACAGTAAAGGTCACCAGGGTCAGAGTCAGCTGAGGCTCCTCGATTTTTCAGCAGAGTTTGGGGTCCCTGTGCCCCCACACAACTCGGATCTTGGGGTGCCAGGGAAGATGCTGGCACCCGTCTGGGCAAGTCTACCATAAGTGGGCTTTCCTGCCTGTCCCCTCCCAGCCTTGCCTGAAGTGACGGTGGGCTTTGGGGGAAGTTGCATAGACAGCACAGAACTCCAGGGCCGAGGTCCTAGTCCTGTGGCCCTGGGAAGCCACATGGTGTCCCCACCAGGAGGACTGGCAACTCCCGATTCCATGGATCTGTTCCTACCCCGGGATCCCAGAAACCTGGCCTTCAGGTCTACAGTGTCCCCTCATGTCCCTCCATCCGGCGTGGGGAGCATGGGAGTGACACTGGGAAGGGCCCAGGGCATGTCCTGAGAACCCAATGCCCTGCTGGGAGGGGTGAGCCCCTAGAGTAGGGGTGTCGAACTCAATCAGAGAAGAGGCCAAAATCTAAAATCCAGCCTAAATCGCGGGCCGAATGGTTTACTGAACAGTCATAAACTGTCATTGTGATGGAAACGCAGCGCAGTGCAGTGATGACAGCGCGGTGCGGGCCACATTGCAAGGCCTGGCGGGACGGATTTGGCCCGCGGGCCTTGTGTTTGATACATGTGCCCTAGTGCTATAGCCGAAGGAATAGGAAACCCCTGGGTGCCGCTGGGTGTAATTCCCCAAAATTCCAGCAGGTGGCACTGGAAGCTAAGAAATGTGCACTGGTCACCTGTGGTCCAGATCCGTTTGGGGCTTAAATTGTTCAGAGCTGGTCTCTCCCTGAGCTGGAACAACTAGGCCCAAAGCCCGATGGACCTGGTCACACCACCACCCTTAAAAGAGCCCCACCTTCCTCAGGTGTGGACAGCCACAGGGTCTCTCTGCCTGATTGAGAACCATGGTCCGTGGTCATGACAAAAGCCATGCTGAGTTCTCAGGTCTCCAGGGAGACCTGCCCCCATGGGTGCTGCCACCTCCCGCCGGCTCCTGCCTGCAGCCCCTCCCTAGGGGGCACCTCCTAGAAGGCCAAAAGGTTCTGGGGGGCACTGGAGAGGGCACTGAGCAGAGCCACAAGGACTCCGGATAGCTGAGGCCTCAAATCCATTTTCCAAAGTCCTGAAAATTCATTACTAATTCCAGAACTTTCTAAGTCTCATCGCCATGCGGCTTGAGAACCAGAGAACCAGAAAATCCTAGCATTTCCAACTGGCCCGTTGTCAGGGCCCTGGGCAGAGGCACACCCCATGGGCAGCCTGTCTTTGGTACTAAACCCCACCCACCCTGAAGACAGAATGCTCACTCTTGTGCCAGAGCTGGGGCTTGGCATCTGTCCCACTCCATAAAGGAGGGGAGCGCTAACAGCTGGACCAGAGCCACGAGATGCTCTTCGAGTTCATCCTCATCCCTACATGGAGGCCAGAGGCCAGGACCCCCATCCCCTCGGCCAGGAACATATTCGGGGAGGTAGTCACGGCCCATGTCTGTGTCCTGCACGCAGCACCGTGACCAGGGCAAGCTCCATGCATGCTCAGTGGGTGCTCTCACAGCACCATGTCCCCCATGTGTGACAAAACAGGGAGAAACCAGAACATCAGCGAGCGGACAGAGGGTGAGTTGAGCAGGCAGCCGTTGTTGGCCTGGCTGGTTTATGGAGACCCAGGGTCTTAAGGTGAAGGCGAAAGCAAGATGGGAGGAAAGGGCTGTGAATTCAGGAAGCAAGACATGGGCCCGATGCTGAGACGGGGAGCTGAGGCGCGGTGGACCAGCCCAGGAAGTGCCAGCCCAGGAGCTGTGGGTGAGCCTGGGAGGGGAGGAACGGCTTGGATGCAGATGTCTTCAGGGGGAGTGAGAGGTCCCCGAGGTGAGAGAGTCATCGGGGCTAAGCCAGCATTCAAAACCCTCCCCGGAGGCCGCCTCGCAGCCTCGGCTGGACCAGTCTGCTCCCCAGACCACACCCACCCTCACCCACTTGTCTGCAGGGCCCTCCCTTGGACCCAACCCCAACCACAGGCCATGGTGGGCTCCAGGACACCCCTCAGCTGACACCCCACACATGGGCTCTGCAGTGTGTGTGTCCTCAGCCCAGGTGGGGTCCCCTGAGTCCTTGGAGGAGGCTGGGAGTGGCAGTGATGGGGGAGAAGGTATATGGGGCCAGTGGGTGTCCAGCCGGTTAGCAGCCATTTCAGCAATGATGTCCCATTCAGCACAGCCCCCTGCTGCCCTGTGACCCCCTCCCCCAGGGCCATCCCCAAGGC